AGGAGAATGGGAGTCGGAGGAGCAGGAGAAGAAGGAGGACGCGGAGGAGGAGGAGGAGGAGGAGGAGGAGGAGGAGGAGGAGGAGGAGGGCCGTCTTGGGGCGATCTTGGGGGCTCTTGAGTCGTCTTGGAGCGTCGAGAAGCAGAAGAGGCGAGAACGCCAAAATCTTTCAAAAACCTTGAGGACATTCATAATGTTTGCCTCGGGGGGGGGCCTTCTTGGGAGTGCTCCTGGACGTCTCTTGGGGCGTTTTGGAGGCCGTGAAGGCATCTTGGACAGATCGTTCGGCAATGCGGGGCCCTCTTGTCTCCCCTGGGACCCCTGGGACCCCCCCCCCTCGTCGGGGGAGGGATCAAAGGGAGGGGGCTTCCTTTCGATTGAATGACAACGTTACTCAATTTCGCTTTGGCTGGCGTGCTTGGGGAAGAGGACCCAGGAAAAAGGGTGGAGCGACGACGGGCCCAGGGAAGTGGGGGCCGCAGGGAAAGCAGCCGGCAGAGACGACGACCAACGAACGACGAAGAGGACGATTCGAATGGACAAGCCCCTCACACACTCCGACAGGGTCGGCGGATTTTGAGGTTCCTCTCCGATGTTGTTTTTCTTTTTCCATATAGTCACCTACGACCTTTCAAGATTCTGATCTGAACGCTTTCTCTTGCCTGGGTAGTCGAAGGCCAGACTGTCAGATTGGACTGGGCCCCAAGGGCCAATCTGGCCCGGCCACACTGGATGCTTTGGGCTATTCGCCAGACTGGATTCGCGTTGGCTCCCTCGCCAGATTGCCCCCGTTTGCCAGATTGGGCCTGCCAGATTTAAAACAGGGCTAGGATCGTGATAAATCGCTCCAGAGCGTTCCGGAGCGCTCTCAGAGCGTTCCGGAACGCTCTGGAGCGGCCGCGGCGCCCAATACATCCTCCAAAACCCGCCGATTCTCAGAGATTTCGAGTTATCCCGATCCGATTTTGTCCCGATCTTCGCGTCGTTTTAAGATTGGCGCCAGATTGGCTTCGACTACCCAGCTTGCTGCATGTCCAACTGTTCATCGCCTCCCACTCGCCCTCCTCTCCCTGCCGGCCTCCCACGCTGCGAATCCGATCTTCCTCCTCCTTCTCCTCCTCCTTTTCCTCCTCTCCCTCCTCTCTCCTCCTCCTCCTCCTCCTCCTCCTCTCCTCCTCCTCCTCCTCCTCCTCCTCCTCCTCCTCCTCCTCCTCCTCCCCCTCCCCCTCCTCCTCCTCCTCTCCCTCTCCTGCTCTAGCAGAAGCAGCCGTGTGCGAGGTGCTCTGCAGGGAGCCCTTCTTTGTCGGTGCGCCCGGGAGCGCCAGCTGTCCCGCCTTCAACACCGACCCGTCCAGGAAGCTGGACATTCTCGGCATGCCCTCGTGCACACAGGTGTGCTTCGCACCGCCCGACGGCCAGGAGGGGTACGTGTTTGAGATCCCCGGCGAGCTCATCAACACCTCCGTCGGGTACCGATGGGAGATGCTCGATGACCCGTACTCGGCGAACGGCTCCAACCTGTCGGAGACCAACGCGTCCGAGCCCAACACGTCGAACTCGTCAAATCTCACAGGGTATACTATAGTCTCCTACATGTACGACGTCTACGCGGACCCTGTGATCGAGGTCATGGTCGGCACTGTCGTCCCGGCCAGCTGGAGGTGTGCCGAGGGCTACGCGGGCGCGGTGTTCGCGACCTGCGAAGAGGGGCAGGAAGCAGGGGCTGGCCTCACCGACCCCAACAGAACCGACCCCTTCCGTGATGACCCCTCGCCTCTCTCCATAGACGCGCTAACCATTCAGCTTCAACCAGTCGCTAAGTTTGAGGCTTTTCCAAGCTTCCCCTCAAACCCGCTGCCCAGTTTGATGCTGACCGGTTTGTGCGCTCTCATGGACGGCAGTTCTTTGACCTCACACCTCACACGGTCTGATCGGCGCGATCGCCAGTCAGCACAGTTCAGTCGCTGAGCCTGTGCTTTTCTGTTCTTCCCCATTGGATTTGATGCCCAGTCTGTGCTGACCAATTTGCGTGGCCAGGCGGCTGGAGGGGGCCTCGAGGGTGAGGGGGTCGTCACGGAAGGTGCTCGTCACGGAAGGGGTCGGGCCGGCCGCGCTCGAAGGACCAGTGCGAGACCGAGTTGGCAGTTTCAGGGTGCGAGAAGGTTCAGACGAGGAAAAAGTTCCCCTACCTCTACCCTTTGGCCGCTTTCCCCTTTTGGGGGCCTCCTGGGAGGCCCTCGTCGCTACCACTGGATTCGCCTCGAAACCCTGGTCAGACAGCACCCCGGGAGAGGTCCGAGGAGTAGCGGTATCGGTATCTGCTGGTTTCCTCGAAGGTAGTCCCTTGTGCGATGCCATACACGGAGTTCTGCGTGCACGACACGTCCGACTGCCCCGAGATCCTGGAACCAGGCACGTCCTGCGAGATCTCGTGCCGCCCGCCGTTCGCGGCCAACGCTACTCTGGCGGTCTGCCCGCCGAACAACACGGACCCCGAGCACGGTCTCAACTACACGCTGCCAGGGTGTTTCTTTGACGCCTGCCCAGACCAGGACTCGGGGGCGGCCAAGAGGGGGGGGATGACTACGGGTGTGTGGATGTCATGGCGGGGGTCATGATATCTCCCCCAATTTCATGGCGCCTCTTCTTATTTCAATGCGCCTCCGCCCCCCCTCCCTTGGGCCGCGCACATGCCTCCTGATTTGCGCCCCCCCTCTTGGACGCCCCCCTCTTGGCCGCCCCCGAAGGACGCCGTCAGTCCAGGCTATGTGAGGTCGAACGCAACCGCCAACGGGTCTGGTAGTGGCTGGGAGTGCGCTCCCGGATTCATCGGGACGGCGACCAGGAGCTGCGAAAGCGTGGAGCACACGTCCACAACTACAACATCCACCACATCGACAGTCACAACATCCACCTCAACCACATCGACAACCACAACAGTAACTACCACCACTAGCGTTACGTCGACCACCGCCACCACCGATAGCGCGTCACCGACATTCTCACAGAGCTCGTCCACGACGATCTCTGAAACTAACACTACTACCCGCACGACGTCCACATCTACGAAGACAACTTCAACGTCAAGCACAACAAGCACCACTGCAACCACATCGACATCGACTACAACTACACGCACGACATCCACCTCCTCCACCACTTCGTCAACAATCACTGTGACCACGGTCACACGCACTTCCACGATCACAATGACCTCAACCACATTGTCTTCGACTGGCACAAACACCACGACGTCAGCAACGTCAACCAGCATCACATCCAGCGCAACAAGTACTACTACAATCACCACGACAACCTCGACCACATGGACCAGCGCGACGGCCACTTCGACAACTACGTACACCACAGTCTCCAGCAGTGCAACGTCGACGAGCAGTAGCGAGACCAGTGGCAGTACAACGCTGACGAGCACCAGCGAGAGCAGCTCAACACTGACTAGCACCACGGGAACGTCCACTCTCACCGCAAGCACTATCACAATGACACTAACTACAGTGAGTGCCACTGACACCAGCACCAGTACGATTTCATCGACACGAACTACTGTGAGCGCCACTACGGTGAGCGCCACTCACACCAGCACCAGCACGGTCACCTTGACTCTAACTTCCGTGAGCGCGACTTCCAGCAGCACGGCAACTGCATCGACGGTCACCTCAGTGAGCTCGACATCGACGTGGACGAGCACGCTCACGAGCAGCACTGCGACAAGCACTGTGACGGTGACTATCACTACGACAAGCACTGTGACGGTGACAACCACTGCGACAAGTACAGTGACAACCAGTGTGACAAGCACCTTGACATCCAAGACGCCTCTGGCCAATCACCGCTGCGCCCTGCATTTTCGGCGCCGCCCAATTTGCCCCATCGTTAGGCCAACGGCTGGCCAGGCTCCTGGACTGCGTGTTCCCCAATCCGTTGTGGAAACAGCTAGGGGACACGCAGATGACGTATGTCCTCTCTTGGCCTTGTGCAGGCCACGTTTGGGCTTCCGTGGGCCGCCTCGACGGCATCGGGAGCATCTCGGGGCGTGTTGGAACCTCTGACGGCATCTTTGGCTACCTGTTGGGCTTCTTAGACCACCCTGGTGGCGTCTGTGACCAATCCAGGGCCATCTTAAGCCTCGTCGTTGCACTTGCACGCTGTTCAAAATCGTGGCGCTCGAGAGTTCGGGCACTCTCCAGAAACCGCGATGCAGCGCCGACCACACAAGCGCCGAACACGATTTCCGTCAGTTGGTGTTGACGAGTCTTGTCGGAGCCTCCTGGGACGTCCTGTTCGCCACCTGGGCCGTCCAGAAGTCGTCCATGGGGCCCTCTCGGAGTCCCGCTTCAGCTCTCCGGGAGCTCCGTGGCGAGCCTCGGCCCACGCGAGCCCGCTGCAGCTCACAGGCGCGCTGACCGGCGTCGGGTCCCGCAGCTCTCGCGGAAAGTCACACCACCCCTGGGGTCGCCGAGGGTGGGCATTTTTGGGATTTCCAGGTTCCAATCTACTTCAGGTGCCTTCCTACTGCAACGATCGGGTGGCTTCACCTCTTTTCTCCGTCCTCCTGTGAGGGGGGCGGGCGGGCACCCAGTCTGCTCTCGGCGCCCTCCCGCTTCGTGTGTCTGCCTGCTTCGTCCGACCGATGGGCACCCAATCTGCTCGCAGCGCCCTCCTGCTTCGTGTGTCTGCCAGCTTCTCCCGACCGGTGGGCGTTGCTCCCCCCCCGTCGCTCAGCTAGGAGTGGGCAGAATCCCCACCACCTCTGGCGTAGTACGTGCGACGCCAGGGAGGGGGCGGCCCGTCCACCTACCTCCCCACCATAGGGGGGGGGGTGCGAAGTCCCTGTGGACGGGAAGGGCTGGGCACTGAGGGGCACCAGAGGCCCTCCAGAAACCAGAGGCTTTCTCCTGGGGCGCGCCCCGACCAGAATGCGTCGAGGCGGCTCCAGGCGTGGCGGCGGGGGCATCCCAGAGGGGGGAGGGGGAGGGGGAGGAGGAGGAGGAGGAGGAGGAGGAGGAGGAGGAGGAGGAGGAGGAGGAGGAGGAGGAGGTTTTGCAGCAAGCTGCCTCACCTTCGCAGCCATGTGCCTCAGAGGCCACAGAGGGCCGTGCTAGCAGCACGCATTTTGTACTGTACGCGCGGGGGGTCCAGCGCAAGAGTCAATGTGCGTCGATCAGAGTCCTCGTCTGGCCGAGTGCGGTCAAGACGCTGACCTCAGGAACGGTTTTGGTTCTGAAGGGGACATCCTGTTCCTCGTGTCCTTCCATGGGGGCCTCGGGTTGCATTCCCCTCTTGGACCTTGCCCTGGGGCCCCAGTGGGGCCTTCCCCCCATCTGGGGCCCTGACACCGTCACTGTAGGGGAATATTCGGCTTGTGCCTGCGCAGGGTCTCGCTGTGAGCGAGGGGCGAGTCAGGGCTGGACCTAAACGGTGTGTCTGGTGATTTCGTGGGCCGTTTTCGTTTCGACTTCGCTCTGCAGCAGAGGCGGGTTGGAGACCGAGGCGAGGGAAGACGCAAACAGAACGAACACGAAGCACACCGTTCAGGTTCGGCCCTGTGGCGAGTCTGTGTGCTCCCAGTAACTCTCTCTTGACATCGCTCGGACGTGTGCATTTTTCCTTCGGCGAGGACCTTCGAGGAGCATCCTCGACCATCTGGCGAAAAAAAACACGCACGAAACCGAAAAACACATAGGAAATGGACGTCCGAGCGATGCCCAGCTCTGAGCCTCCAGCGGTCTGCCTCATTTTCCTCAAGCCTCCACGGCTGCTCCTCCGCGGCGCTGCTCGTGCACCCAGGGCGCTCTGGGGGGGGGGGGGGGGGCGGGGGCAGGGCACCAAGGGCCAGGACGCCCTCCGGCAGCGCCCGGGCCAGGACGCCCTCCGGCAGCGCCCGACCGATGGGAGGCCCGGGGAAGAGGTGGGGGATCGGGGATCGAGGATCGATCGAGGCTCGAGGATCGCTCGAGGATCGAGGATCGAGGGTCGATCGTGGATCGAGGATCGGGGGTCGTTCCTCGGCGTTCCCCCTGGTTGCAGCCTGGCTGTGCCGAGGTGTGCCCATGAGAGGGCGGCGCCCCGGGGGCGGGGAGCTCGGCGCCGAGCGGGGCCCCGAGGGGGCTCTGGCCGGGGGGGGCGGGGGCCGTGCCCAGGCCCGCAGGCCGAGCGCGCCAGCGACACTCCAGGCCTCCCAGACGGGGACGGAGCAGGTGGGGTCGGAGGATCTCCTCCTCCTCCTCCTCCTCCTCCTCCTCCTCCTCCTCCTCCTCCTCCTCCTCCTCCTCCTCCTCCACGCCGCGTCGCCGATGCATCGGCGATGCCGCTCGACGTGGAGCCCGCCTTTCTCCTTCGATGGCGTCGCCGCGGCCTCGTGGAGGTCGCGAGCCTCCGACCCCTATCTGCTCGGGCCCCATCCAGGAGGCCCCCAGACCCGCATGCCTCCAGGCCTTCGCCGGGCGGACCCGGGAGGAGGACAGAGCCGTTCCAGGGCGTTCCCGAACGCCCCGAGGGCCGAGAGGGCCGCGGCCTCCGAAATGCATGCTCCAGAGCCGTCGGATCTCGGAGACTCTCGGCTTTTACCTTCGCCCGATGTCCTCCCCGTCCTGGCCTCGTTTTTTGCTTAGCTCTGCCGTGATGCGCCCGTGCTGAGGCGCAGCGCGTGCCGTGCTCGGAACGTCCGTGCCGATACACTGCGTGTTCATGTTCGGCACGTGGTGGCCCGCGTGTCGGGCGAGCGTCTCGCACCCGACCCGGGTTTTCGGCACACGTGTTGAGCTCCGTGTCGACACGCTGCGGGTTGCGTGTTGCGCGTCGGGGCGGCCGAGCTCGATCCCCATCGGGAATCGTCAGAGAGCGCGTCAACCTTGAGGAGCTCCAGGTTTCGTTCAAGAGCGCTCAGGCTTCCGACTTGGCTTCCTCGTGAGGTGGTCGCATCTGTGGACCAGGCGGGCCCAGGCTACTGATCAAGAGAACGCTTCGAGTGGAGCCCATTCTCTTCGCGCAAGGTTGTCTCAACTACGGTTGGGGCGTTGGTTAAGGCATGTGCCCTGGAGGCGTCAGACCCTGGGGGGCTCCTTATCCGAGGGGGCGGTGGTGATGTACGTGGTTAATCCACGATTGGCTTTCCACCGGCTTCCAGACCCTGCGTTCCTCATCGAAGGTTTCCGTCTCCACTGCCATCACCGTATGGGCAGTGGCGCAGCGTGCCCGCGGCCCCGCTCCTCTCCTGTCGCCGCCTCGCTGCCGCCTCGTCTCGTCGCTCTGGCGCCTCGCCCCTCGCCCGTCCTCCCGTCCTCCCGCTCCGCCGCTCCTGCGCTCCGGGCTCGTCGTTGGCTCCCCCCTCTCGGCCTCCTCTTGGCGCTGGACCAGCTGGAGGCGGCAGCCTGGAGCGTGCACGAGGGCAAGCCAAATAGCTGAGACCGACCCAACGCTGCGGTACCCCTCCCTTCCTTCGGCCTCGTCTTCCTCCTCTCCCTCCTCTCCCTCGTCGCCCTCCCGTCCTCCTCCTCCTCCTCCTCCTCCTCCTCCTCCTCCTCCTCCTCCTCCTCCTCCTCCTCCTCCTCCTCCTCCTCCTCCTCCTCCTCCTCTCCCTCGCCGCCCTCCCCCCCAAAAAGGAGACCACAGACAGCCCGTCGTTCCACGGGTCTCCGCGGGGGCAGCAAAGCGGCAGCACGGGGGGCGGAGGCGGAGGTGCCCGAACGCGCGCGCGGGAAGTCCGCCTCTCTGCCTCTGCAGCGCTGAGTGGCGAGCCTCCGGGGCCGCCCCCCCCGCTCGTCCTCACCGCGCTCTCGCGGGCCCTGTGCGCCTCTGGGGCCGCCTCCCCTGAGATCCAACGCTCCCAAAAACTTGGAGCAGGCGATTTTGGGGTTGTTTTCCACCTCCGGGGGCCCTCGCCGGGCCTCGGGAGCGTCAAGAAGCGCCTCCAGGACGACAAGCCGGTCTCGGGGAAGTGGTCCGGACCTTCGGGGCCCACGCATGAAAAACAAAAAAAAGTGTTGGAGCCGCCGGGTGTCGGGGTCCCTGCTGCCCTTGGGCGCCCTCGGGTCCTTCCTGTGCTTCTGCGAGCTTTCCTGCCTGCAGTGCTGAGGCGAGCCTCTGGGAAAGCCTCCCCGCTCCCCCCTTTTGTCCGCGCCCTCGCGGGCCCCCCCCCCTGTGGGCCCTGCGTCTGCGAGCTCCGCGCCGGACGAGAGGGGGATCTTGGGAAGGGGGGTCGGGCGGGTGGTACGGTGGGTGGAGTAAAAGTGTCCACACGTGTCTCGCCAAGACCTTGAGTTTTGAAAGCGCGTCGGACCAGAATGTATACCACCTTCCCCCAAATTCAAAGTTGACGGGTGTGGGCGGTAGGCCGCAGGCCCGGGACAGAATGTGGACATTTCAACTTTGATTTCGGGGGGGGGGTACGAAGGAAGGGCATTTCCCAGTTGTGGTTGCCATCATGTTGCATCGCCTTACCGCCATGAGTGTGGACACTTTTTGTCCGGCCACCGTACAGTGGGGACCAGTGCCAAGAAAAACCCTGCTTGCCTCCAGGGTGCCCTGGGTTTCTCGGGTTTCGATGGTTTTGCCCTGGAAAGCGCGACGTTCCCGCACCAAACATGAATGGACATCCCGGGGTGTCAGGGTTGGGTTTCTTGTGGAAGGTTTCTTGTGGTCGGGCCCCTACTGCGATGGGGGGTGACCCACATGGAGCGTTCCAAAATGGGCCTTGCCTTCGCGAGTAGAAGGAATTGTCATCTCTTCCGCGGCGGAAGGTCGGCGGAAGTAAACGAGGCCGCCTCCGCCGGCGGAAGCCGGCGGAATGGCGGCGGAAGGCGGCGGAAGTAGAAACACGCCTCCCAGGAGATGAACACGTTTTTGGGTTCAGGGTTTCTGAAATCGCCCACATGGGAGGTGAAGGAGTGGGCCCCCAAGGGACCCTTGTAGGAGGAGGAGGAGGAGGAGGAGGAGGAGGAGGAGGAGGAGGAGGAGGAGGAGGAGAGGAGGGGGAGCGGAGGAGGAGGAGGAGGAGGAGGAGGAGGAGGGAGGAGGAGGAGGAGGAGGAGGAGGAGGAGGAGGAGGAGGAGGAGGAGGAGGAGGAGGAGGAGGAGGAGGCGGAGGAGGAGGAGGAGGAGGAGAAGGATGAGGAGGAGGAGGGGGAGGGGGAGGAGGGCCCCGAAGGGGCCCCTTTGGGCACCAGCTGGCTCCAAGAGGGGCCCCAGAGGGCCCCGTTGGGGCGGGCCCCCCGCCCCACCCCGCTCTCTGTGCGCTCTCGCGGGCCCCCTGCGCAGAGGGCCCAGGGACACTCAGATAGATGCGCACACACACACACACAAATCCCAGGATTCCCCCATCGTTTCCTGCGTTTTCTCGACTTTCGTCTTCCCCTCCCCTCCCACTTCCCATCTTTTCCCATGATGTCCTGGGGATCGACGAAGGATTGTGTCTGTGCGCTTCTGTCCCCTCCTGGCTCTGGTGGGCTCTTCCTGCGAGCCTCGGGCCGGACGAGAGGGGGATCTTGGTCAGGAGGAGAAAAACACACAGACACAGTGAATCGTCGAGTCCCAGGAAAAGATGGGAAGATATGGGAAGTGGGGGGGACGACGAAAACCCAGAAAATATGGGAAAGTATGGGGAATCCTGTTATTTGTGTGTATTTATTTGTATGTCCCAGGGCCCCTTCACTTGGGAAGGGGGGCGGGGGGTACGTGACGTTGCATCTTCGGGGGGCCTCGTCTGTCCCTCAGAATCGGTGGCTGTTCTTGTGACCGACGCGGGCTCAATGCGGACTCGACGCGGATCCGGCGTGGAATCGACGCGGATTCGGCACGGATTCGACACGGATCCGATGAGGCAGACATGAGTTCGACACGGATTCGACGCCGATAGGGCCACGACGGGACAGATGAGGTTCCCTGAGGATGCAGCATAAGGTACGCCATCTGGTGCATGCAGCTGGCTTCGGCCTCGCCACCAGGCGCAAGGATCGATACGTGGGGCGGCGCTTCCAGCTCCGGGAGGATGTGGGCGGACTGGCTGCGTAAGCCGATTCGCTGGTATCTCCCGTCGTGAACTCCCCCCCTGTTCGTCCGACCTGAGTGTCGCGCGACGTTGGGACCAGGAATATTGGCCTCCAATTGCTGACCTTGTTCGTTCACATGGGTAGCAATGAAGGGCTTGCAGAGAGGGCTGGTGGCTAACAGCTTGAATGCCCTACGGGGGCTGGCAGATCCACAACCGAGAGTTCATCAACGTCCACTGCAACTTTTTCGAGTTTGAGTGTGACTCTGGAGAGTAGCAGTGCAACGTCTACTACGACAGTAAGCACATCTCGCACGTCCACGACGTCAGCAACATCGACCGTCAGCACTGCAACGACCACGACGGCTTCTTCGACCGCCTCGACAACGTCAACAAGCTCCATGTCAACCATTTCTGCGACTGAGACAACCTCCACAAGCGGAACATTTACAAGTGGAACATTCACAAGTGGAACATTCACAACAACGACAATGACGACGAGCACCAGGTCTAGTAGCACAACAGAGTCTTTCACGAGTTGGACGAGCTACTCTTCCACAAGTGCTACGAGCTCCTTGTCAATCACAACTGCAACATGGACAAGCAGCACGAGCGAGACGACAAGCAGCGGGACGAACACGAGCAGAACTACAGTGAGCAAAACGTCGACCACCAGTGCGACGATTACGACTGCCACAGTGACGGTCACTGTCAGCCTGACTGTGACAAGTGGCACCACCACCGAAACTAGCAGCACCTCCGCGTCGACTGCAAGCGAGTCGAGCAGCAGCACAGTTTCGACCGCCAGCGTGACCAGCAGCACGACGGGCTCGAGCATCAGCACGACCAGCAGCACCACGAGCCGCTCGCTCACCACAGCCAGCGAGACCAGCAGCACAACCAAGACTGCCACCAGCAGGACCAGCACTGCCACAAGGACGAGCTCCACGAGTCGCACATCGACGACCGGGAGCAGCACGAGCCTCACGTCGACGACCGAGACCAGCACCACGAGCGACCACACGACCACCGCGTCGAGCAGCGACACACTCACGAGCACCACCGCCACGAGCAGCGCGACCAGCACGACGACCGCCACCATCACGTCGACTACGGACTCGAGCTCGACCGGCACGAGCAGCGGCACCAGCTCAACGACCCATACCCTGACCTCCACGAGCATCACGTTGTCCTCGACGACGGGCACCTCGACGATGACCAGCATAACCTCGACCAGCGCGAGCGCGACGAGCACTACCTCCCTCACGCTGACCTCGTCGACGGCCACCTCGACCTCCACGACCACCAGCTGGACGTCAACCACGACCCGCACGACATGCGCGGAGAATTCCCCCAGCTGCCAGAATAGCACCTCCACCGAGACGAGCACGGAGACCAGGTCGACAACCACGGAGACGATCACCACAACAACGGCGACCTCGACCTCTTCCGTGAGCTCCACCCTGTCGACGATGACGGAGACCCCATGGAGGGCCTGCACCGTGGAGCAAGTGCTCAGCGGCTGCATGCCGCCTCCTGCAGTGGCCTGCCGCGTGCCAGAGACGCCTGGCTGTCAGCTAGATGCCAGCAGGTGCGCGGGAACTTTCCCAGGTGCTTCTTGCGAGGTCGCGTGCAGGTATCCTTACGTGGGCGATCCGGCCACGGCGTACTGCCCAGCCGACGACGCGGAAATGCACTGGTTCCCTCCTGCATGCACGTTGGCCTGCCCTGGTCCCGAGAGTAGGCCTGCAGGCTACAGGAAGTTAGCAGGCCAGTGGGTCTGCGACGAGGGCTTCGGGGGGGAGGTCGTCGCGCACTGCGAGGTCGTGAACGGCTCCGGGGGGCGGTGCGAGGTGACGCCGACAACCCTGTCGGGGTGCCTGCCGCTCGCGGCCTGCGTGGAGCTCGTGGTGAACCGTGAGACTTGCGAGCTGGAAGATCTGACAACCACAACCACGACCTCGACGTCCTCAACCACGTCGACCTCGTCCTCAACCATCACGACCTCCACCACCAGCACCAGTTCAACGACCACCACCAGCACCGTGACGACCTCCACCAGCACCACCAGCACCACCTCCTCCACGATCACGACCACGACCAGTACGAGCGTGACGACTACGACCACGACCACAACCACGATTACCACTAGCACGTCGACAACATCAACATCGACGTCGACAATCACGACGTCCACATCTTCCACGACGACTGTTACGACGTCTACATCGTCAACGACGAGTACCACCACGACCACCAGGACGTCCTCGACGAGCACGACCACAACGTCGACTGTCACAACGTCTACATCAACCACCACCACAAGCTCAACAACGGTAACGATGACGACAGGGACCCTCTCGTCCACCACCTCAGTCTCGTCCATTTCGTCAACAAGTGTGTCAAGCACCTCCACTACCACGTCATCGACATCACAGACCACGACGACGCCCACGAGCTCCAGCACCACGAGCACCGAAACAGCATCATCGGTTACGCTTACGAGCACCACGGAGACAAGTACGACGGGCACGTCCACCATGACGAGCACCACGGAGACCAGCAGCACGACCCTTTCAAGCTCGACGGGGAGCAGTGGCACGGCCACGTCCACGCTGACGACGAGCAGCAGCACGACGCTCTCAAGCGCGACGGGGACCAGCCGCACGGCCACGTCCTCGTTGACGAGCACCACTGGGACAAGCACTTCGGAGAGCAGCACCTCCACGCTGTCGAGCACGACGGTGACTAGCTCTTCAGCAACGTCGACCACGACACTCACAAGCACCAGTCAGACCAGCAGCGTAACGTCGACGAGCACCACCAAGACCAGCACTTCTGAGACGTCCACCCTTTCGAGCTCCACAGTCTCAAGCACTACCCTGACGAGCAGCACCGCGACGTCGCAGACAACCACAATCACGACAAGCACTATTACATCTACGTCGACGCTTACAAGCACTACGGGAACTAGTACCGTCACGCGGACGTCAACGACAACCAGCCAAACCGAGACGAGTACACGGACACTAACGTCGACGACTATGTCGTCAACGTCAGTCTCATCAACGGTTTCGTCGTCAACGGTAACATCGTCAACGTCACTTTCGTCAACGTCTGTGTCGTCAACGTCAGTTTCGTCAACCTCTACATCGTCAACGACTTTGACGTCAACGACTGGGACGTCAACGTTGACGAGCACCAGCATAACGAGCGCCACCTCGACGAGCACGCTAACGAGTACCACCATGACGAGCACGTTAACGGCGACATCCACGAGCACCGCCGGGATCAGCAGTGTTACGCTCACAAGCACCACGGATGCGAGCTCTACTCTTACGAGCACCACGGAGGCAACCGTTACCAAGACATCTACTGCCACGAGGACTATTACTGTATCATCGAGTACTGAGTCTACTCGGACGATGACCTACACATCCATCTCCACTGCCACATCTACGCTCACGAGCACTACTGAGACCAGTGTGACGATGACTTCAAGCTCCACCATTACGAACACTCGTACACTCACGAGCACTACTGAGACCAGTACGACGATGACATCCACCTCCACTATCACGAACACCCATACACTCACAAGCACTACTTTGACCAGTACGTCGAGGACGTCCACATCCACGACCACGAGTACCTACACGCTCACGAGCACCACTGGCACAAGTGGCTCGATGACGTCGACAAGCACAATCACGAGCTCCATCACACTCACGAGCAGCACAGCCACCAGCTCTTGGACGAGCAGTAGTCTGACAAGCACCTCGAGGACAAGCACAACCCTCTCGAGCACCACATTTAGCTCAAGCACTACCTTGTCGAGCACCACGGCAAGCTCATCGCTCACTGAGACCGGGACCTCAACGATATCCACTGGCACTGAGACTAGCACTATTTCTGCTTCCACAGCCACAAGCACTTTTACGACGACGAGCGTCACAGCTACAAGCACTACGGCCAGTTCCACCTCAGTCACCTCCACTACATTAACTTCCACCTCTGCCACATCCACCACTCTTAGTTCCACGAGCCTCACTTCCACTACTGCCTCTTCCACTTCTATGACTTCCACTTCTACGGCCACCGCAACTATAACAAGCTCTACCGAATCAAGCACCACGGCGACGACCACGCTCACGAGCACCACCCAATCTAGCACAGCGACGCGATCGACCCTCACCACGACGATGACTTCCACCACTGGCAGCAGCTCTACTGAGAGCACGGCGACCCTCACAATGACGAGCACGGCCACCAATTTCTCTGGGTGCCTATTCGAGGTGGCCGGCTGCTTTGGCGTGGAGCCCAACTCGTCTTGCCAGGTGCGCTGCAGGGAACCCTGGGTGGGTCACCCGGTCGAGGCCACCTGCCCGGCCGGCAACGTCAACCCCCTCCAGTCGTTGATTGGCTTTGCCATTCCGGAGTGCTTCTGGCAGTGCTTCGAACCGGATCCCGTACCGGCTGGGTACACGAAGGCACCGGACGGCACTTGGCGCTGCGCGGCCGGTTATGCAGGCGAGTTGGGCAGCCAAGACCCCATGGATCGTGGAGTTCGCCTTCCATGGAGGGGAGGGCGTGGGAGGGCAGGAGGAATGGCAGGAGAGGGGGAATAGGAGGAGGAGGAGGAGGAGGAGGAGGAGGAGGAGGAGGAGGAGGAGGAGGAGGAGGAGGGGGAAGAGGGGGAGGAGGCGAACTCTCACTATCCACTATCCCCGTGGTTTGGGCTGCTCTGAGGGAATGCGCTGTACGAGTGCGACATCAGCAGAGGTTACGGGGCCACTGCCACCCTTTCTGGCTGCACGGCGGTGTACAGCTGTCCAACGCTTGATGTGGATGCCTGCAAGTTTGATGCCTCAGATTGTGAGTTCTTAGTGGAGGGCGAATCTTGTCAGGTGACTTGCGCACCACCCTACACGGGTACTCCAGCCACGCTCTCGTGTGAGGAGAGAGACGCTCTGCTTGAATGGTCGCAGGTAAGCTTACCACAGTGCTCGCCAGTGCAGTGCAGAGATTTCGTACCCGCAGGGTACATGAAGACATCGGTTGGCTGGGAGTGCGCGCCCGGTTATGCAGGCAGGAGGGCGCAAAGTTCCCACCACCGATGTCAATCAGGCCCTTCTGGGGCTCTGGATCGGTGCATGCGCCCTCCGAGAGCGCATTCAGTGATCCTGGGGCGAGGATGGGCCGAGCAGGATCGGTGCAGGTGCATGTCGGCGACTACAAAGGGTTTGGCTACGCGGGGTGTGGTTTGCGATCTGCGTCGTGGGGGCTTGGGGGCGCCGCGTGTTCATCGTCGGGCCTCCTCGGGGCGCGGCGGAGAGCTTCGTCGAGGTCCTGGCCCGCCCTCCAGGGTGCGGGTTGCAAACCACACCTTTTGAAGTGACACGCCTCGGAGTCGCCGAGCATGATGCACCTCCGAACTAGACCAAAGACGTCGTGATGTCTTCAACGCCGCGGGCCACCAGAAGTCTCGACCCCTTCCCTGGGACCAGCTGCTTGTGCCGAATGCTTGATTAGTAGGGACCCGGGGCTCGGCGAGACTCTCATGGCATGAGGGGCGCCAGATAAGGAGCGAAGTGGCCGTCATGGCCACGGCGAGCCTCGGCCATGAATCGGCTCCTTCCCCGAGGGGCGCCAGATAAGGAGCGAAGTGGCCGTCATGGCCACGGCGAGCCTCGGCCATGAATCGGCTCCTTCCCCGAGGGGCGCCAGATAAGGAGCGAAGTGGCCGTCATGGCCACGGCGAGCCTCGGCCATGAATCGGCTCCTTCCCTTGTCGTCGTCGTCGTCGTCGTTGTCGTTGTTGTCGTTGTTGTTGTTGTTGTTGCTGTTGTTGTTGTTGTTGTGGTTGTTGTTGTTGTATGTCGTTATTGTTGCTGTTGTTGTTGCTGCTGGTGTTGCTGTTGCTGTTGCTGTTGCTGTTGCTGTTGCCGTTGCTGCTGCTGTTGCTGTTATTGTTGTTGTTGCTACTGTTGTTGTTGTTGTTGTTGTTGTTGTTGTTGTTGTTGTTGTTGTTGTTGTTGTTGTTGTTGTTGTTGCTGAGTGTTCATTTCTAAAGAATAATTGTTGTTGATCCCCCCTCCGGGGCACATGGTGTTATTCTGATTGAAGTGCTCTTCCCGGGGCTCGCACTTATTTTTTATCAGGGACAGCTTGGGTCTCAGAATTGGGTTGTTGGCCCGGGTTTAAAACAAGAGCAACAACGGCTCCAGCTTCATACTGCCTCAGACTGTATTACCACATCGCGCTCTCGCGCGGGATTTCTTCATCATGTACGCAGTAATCGCGCTCTCGCGTGGGACGCCCTTGCAATTTATTCTGACGCCGCGCCCTCGACACTCAGGTATCACGCTGTCGCTGTTGATGTCCTTACGATTCATGTGGGAATCGCGCTATCGCTTGAAACTTCCTCGCGATTCATGCAGGACTCACGCTTCAGCAACACGCCTGCTCGATCTGGCCGCCTGAGCCCGCCTTGCGCCATGCTTTTCGGCGCATCAGCCCGCGCGGCGGCGCATGCGTCTGAATGCCGCGCGGACGTCTGGGGTTGCGGGACTTCCGTCCGTGGTCGAAACTGGCCTCCAGGCGCGGGGGCGCCGCTCGCAAGTGGCCGAAGGCCACCGCGTGCTGCGTTCTGGCGCTTCCGCGCGCGCGCGGGGGCGAACGCCTCAGAGTGCCAGGCAGGCGTCTGGATGCGTGGGGTATCCCGTGCTTGTCGCGATTTCGCAGCAGGTGTGGGGACACCGCTCGAAGGCGAGTCGGGCTTCCCGGAGGTTGCGGGTAATCCAGCCTGCGCACGGCGCAGCCATGCCCTTCGCCGCGTGTGGATCGTTTCCATCGCCAGTGGTGCGTCTTCACGCGAGTGGGGCCATTCGTAAGATATGCCGCCCGTGGCGGCGACGCGCAATGCCGGGGTGGCGCGCCCGCGCGTGTCCGCGTCTTCATGGCGCGCGCACTCAGACAGACGAGATTTTCATTCTCCACGACGCAAGAAATATCCTCGCAGTGCTTGCTGAGACCTGGCAATCCGACCCTTCGTGGCCCCCTGGCTGCCCCCCGTTGCAGCCCTTCGTGGCCCCCTCGCTGCCCTTCGTGGCCCCGTTGCAGCCCTTCGTGGCCCCCTCGCTGCCCTTCGTGGCCCCGTTGCAGCCGTTCGTGGCCCTCTCGCTGCCTTTTGTGGCCCCGTTGCAGCCCTGCGCGGCCCCCTCGCTGCCCTTCGTGGCCCCGTTGCAGCCCCTCGTGGCCCCCTCGCTGCCCTTCGTGGCCCCCTCGCTGCCCTTCGTGGCCCCGTTGCAACCCTTCGTGGCCCCCTCGCTGTCCTTCGTGGCCCCATGTATGTACGCCCTTCGCGGCCCCCGCTCGTTCGCGCCCGTCGTGGCCCCATATGCATGCCCTTCGTGGCCTCGCTGTCGCCCTTCGTGCCCCCCTCGCTGCCCTTCGTGGCCCCGTTGCTGCCCTCAGTGGCCCCGTCCTTGCCCTCCGCGGCCCAATATACGTACGCCCTTCGTGGCCCCGGCTCGTTCGCGCCCGTCGTGGCCCCATGTGCATGCCATTCGTGGCCCCGCTGTCGCTGTTTGTGGCCTCCTCGCTGTCCTATGTGGCCCAGTTGCTACCCTTGGTGGCCCCGTCGTTGCCTTCTGTGGCCCAGCATTTTTTGCCCTTCGTGGCCCCCGCTCGTTCGCGCTCTTCGTGGCCCCATGCGCATTCCCTTCGTGTCCCCGCTGTCGCCCTTCGTGGCCTATTTCGTGCCATTCGTGGCCCTGCTGTCGTTCTCTCTCTCGCTCCCGCTTTCGCTCGTCGTCGCCGTCGTCGCCGTCGTCGTCGTCGTCGTCGTCGTCGTCGTCGACGTTGTCGTCGTCGTGGTCGGTCCCCTGTCCGTCCCTCTTGGGGTCGGGCTGCCGCCGGTCAGCGCTGCCGCTGGCCAGGCTGACGGTCCGCGGCCGCCCCGCCGCTTGCCGGGGTCCAGCCTGCAGGGATGACAGGTATGCCCCGAAAAGGGATACGATCGAAGACGAAGAGGGCGGGTATCGAGGGTTTGGGAAATACGCGTTAACGGACGGACACTCGAGCAGATGAGAGCGAACAGTCTTAAACTGATTGTTGTTGTTGTCGTCGTCGTTGTTGCTATTGTTGTTGTTGTATGTTGTTGTTGTTGCTGTTGTTGTTGCTGCCGCTGGTGCTGGTGTTGCTGTTGCCGTTGTTGCTGCTGTTGTTGCTACTGTTGTTGCTGCTGCTGTTGTTGTTGCTGAGTTTTCGTGCTTGAAGAATAATTGTTGTTGATCCCCCCTCCGGGGCACATGGTGTTATTTTGATTGAAGTGCCCTTCCCGGGGCTCGCACCTATTCTTTTTATCAGGGACAGCTTGGGTCTCAGAATTGGGTTGTTGGCCGGGGTTTAAAACAACAGCAACAACGGCTCCAGCTTCATACTGCCTCAGACTGTATTACCGCATCGCGCTCTCGCGCGGGACTTCCTCACAATGTACGCAGTACTCGCGCTCTCGCGTGGGACGCCCTTGCAATTTATTCTGACGCCGCGCCCTCGGCACTCAGGAATCACGCTGTCGCTGTTGATGTCCTTACGATTCATTGGGGAATCGCGCTATCGCTTGAAACTTCCTCGCGATTCATGCAGGACGCACGCTTCAGCAGCACGCCTGCTCGATCTGGCCGCCTGGGCCCGCCTTGCCGCCCCGTTTGTTAGGATCTATCCGCCCGATGTGCCCGTTTGGTTCTGCCACGTGTTTCCTGCTCCTACTTACGCATGACGAAAGATTTTCCTCTTGAAGTCGACGAAGACCACCCCCGTCCCCCGTAGAATCTTTACACGGGGGGGGCCTGCGGTCGACGGATCACATTCTTGTCGGTTCCCGGAGCGAGTTTAATATTATAAGTTCAAAGCGGGGTAGGAATGGAATCCGCAGTAAAAAGTAGGGTCCGACGCGGATCCCGAACATTAGAAATGGGATCCGCGCGCACGGAAATGGGATCCGCCGCGATTTCACGATTACGGTAAGGTTGGACATCGGATCCGTGCGACCCTCCTTGGGTTCGCCGCTATGATTTCCCAGAGGGCCCGTGCACCGCGTGGGACTGTGAGGTTCAGCGCCAAGAGGACAAAACTTTCGGCCTGGGGATGTAGGCCCACCTCCTTCTATGTTTTCTCGTGCTCCATCCTCCTCCTTCCCCCTTGTCCCTTCCTTCCATCCGTCCTCTCTTCCTCTGTCTTAGGGGCTGTACGAAATACACGCTGCAGGTAAGAAAGATGTATACCCCAAAGGGATTACGATCGAAGACGATGTGGGCAGGTATCGAGGGTTTGGGATATGCGTGTTGAATGACACGCGAGCAGGGATGTCGAACAGTCTTCACATGAGTGTTGTGGTTGTTGTTGTTGTTGGTGTTGTTGTTGTTTTTGTTGTTTCTATTGTTGTTGTTGTTCTTGTTGTTACTGTTGTGGAGTCCTAATTTCTAATCAATAGTTATGTTTGATCTCCCTCCGGGGCAGATGGTGTTCTTTCGATTGAAGTGCCCGTCCCGGGGCTCGCACCCAGTTTTTTTATCAGGGACAGCTTGGGTCTCAGAATTGGGTTGTTGGTTTCCGGTTTGCAACAGGAGCGACTCCCGCTGGACACCCCGCCCCCTCGTGTATTCCTACATCGCGCTCTCGCGCGGGACTTCCTCTCAATGTATGCAGGAATCGCGCTCTCGCGTGGAACGTCCTTGCAGTTTATTCAGACGCCGCGCCCTCGACACTCAGGAATTACGATCTCGCTGTGGTTCTGCTCACGATTCATTTGGGAATCGCGCTATCGCTCGAGACTTCGTCGCGATCCATGCAGGACGCACGCTTCAGCAGCACGCCTGCTCGACCTGGCCGCCTGGGCCCGCCTTGCCGCCCCGTTTGTTAGGATCTATCCGCCCGATGTGCACGTTTGGTTCTGCCACGTGTTTCCTGCTCCTACTTACGCATGACAAAAGATTTTCCTCTTGAAGTCGACGAGGACCACCCCCGTCCCCCGTAGAATCTTTACACGGGGGGGGCCTGCGGTCGACGGATCACATTCTTGTCGGTTCCCGGAGCGAATTTAATATTATAAGTTCAAAGCGGGGTAGGAATGGAATCCGCAGTAAAAAGTAGGGTCCGACGCGGATCCCGAACATTAGAAATGGGATCCGCGCGCACGGAAATGGGATCCGCCGCGATTTCACGATTACGGTAAGGTTGGACATCGGATCCGTGCGGTCCTCCTGTGGTTCTGCTCACGATTCATTTGGGAATCGCGCTATGGCTCGAGACTTCGTCGCGATCCATGCAGGACGCACGCTTCAGCAGCACGCCCGCTCGACCTGGCCGCCTGGGCCCGCCTTGCCGCCCCGCTTGTTAGGGTCTATCAGCCCGATGTGCCCGTCTAGTTCTGCACGTGTTTTCTGCTCTTAGCCCCCTTCCTACTACTTTCTCTCGTGCTCCATCCTCCTGCCTCCCCCTTGTCCCTTCCTTCCATATGTCCTCTCTTCCCCTGCCTCAGGGGCTGCACGAAATGCACGGTGCAGGTAAGAAAAAAATATATCCCGAAGGGGGTAAGAGGGCGTGTATCGAGGGTTTGTGTTATACGTGCTGAATGGCAATCGAGCAGATATGAGCGAACAGTCTTCAAATGATTGTTGTTGATGTTGTTGTTGCTGCTGCTGTTGATGTTGCTGTTGAATTTTTATTTCTACCGGATAAGTAGTGTTGATTCTCCCTCCACGGTAACCGTTGCGCGTTTCAGTTGAAGTGTTTCTTCCGGGACTCGCACTTGGATTTTTCCCTGGGAAAGCGAGGTCTCACCAAACTATGTTGCTGGCTCCAGGTTTACAACAAGAGCGGCTCCCGCCTGATACTTCCTCACAAGGTATTGCCACATCGCGTTCTCGCGCGGGACTTCCTCACAAGTTATTCAGACATTGCGCTCTCGCGTGGGACGTCCTTGCAATTGATTCAGACGCCGCGCCCTCGACACTCAGGATTCACGCTCTCGCTGTTGACTGCCCACGATTTACTTGGGAATCGCGCTATCGCTCGAGACTTTCCTTCTCGACCCGCCTGTTAGGGCCTACTCGCCTGGTCTGCCCGTGTGGTTCTGCCACGCAATTTCTGCTCCTAGGCCCCCCTCCTGCTATTCTCTCTCGTGCTCCATCCTCCTGCCTCCCCCTTGTCCCTTCCTTCCATCTGTCCTCTCTTCCTCTGCCTTAGGGGCTGCACGAAAGATACGTTGCAGGTAAGGAAGATATACCCCCAGGGGGTACAATCGAAGCCGAAGAGGGCGGGTATCGAGGTTTTGGGAGATCCGTGTTGAATGACACCCGAGCAGATAAGAGTGAGCAGTCTTGAATTGATTGTTGTTGTTGTTGTTGTTGTTGTTGTTGCTGCTGCTGTTGTTGTTGTTGTGGTGTTTGTGGTTGTTGTTGCTGTTGCTCTTGTCGTTGCTGTTGTTATTGCTGTTGCTGCTGCTGCTGTTGTTTATGTTGTCGTTGTATGCACCTGGGGCACAGGCTGAATTCGAATACTTCTCTTAACGAAGACGAAGTGCAAGCAAGATCCGAGAGGGGCACTTCAGTTGAAAAACATAGGGCGCTACGGACAGGGGGGATCAACCACGGGTATCCGCCAGAAGCGGGAGTTCAATCCGCCGCGCCGGGAGGTCTCCACCCCTTCGAGGGGACTCGTTCTCATTTCGAGCCGCTGTCTGCTGGCGGTCCCAGGGCCTCGTGAGGGGCCCCCTGGAGACCAAACAAACACCCTGAGCCTCCCGCCGCGCTTTTACTATGCGCCTCCTAGATTGGGTCCGAGTATGTAGATGGGGTCGGAGGATCGTGCCGCATCGCCGATGCATCGCCTATGCATCGGCGATGCGGCGCAATCCTTCGACCCCATCTGCTCCGACCCAATCTCGGAGGCCTCCGGCTTTTACTCACGGCGCGAGGGGAGGTCTCGGGAGGAGGAGGAGGAGCGAGGAGGAGGAGCGCGGAGGAGGAGGAGGAGGAGGAGGAGGAGGAGGAGGGAGCGAAGAGGGAGGAGCGAGGAGGAGGAGGAGGAGGAGGAGGAGGAGGAGGAGGAGCAAGCGAGGAGCGAGGAGGAGGAGGAGGAGGCGGAGGAGGAGCGAGGAGCGAGGAGCGAGGAGGAGGAGGAGGAGGAGGAGGAGGAGGAGGAGGGGGAGCGAGGAGGAGGAGGAGGAGGAGGAGGAGCGAGGAGGAGAGGAGGAGGAGGAGGAGGAGGAGGAGGCGGACCTCTCTGCCCCGCCGCGAAAGGCACGGCACTGGCGAGCTGCACGGTGGACCGGGCCTGGGGCTGCTACCCCGTGCCGCTGCTGTCGGGCTGCGCCCCCGCGCAGGTGCCCCGCCCGGGAGGAGGGGCCAAGCTGCCACCACCACTGCAGTGGTCATGGGTAGGACGGGGGAGGGATGAGTAGATCCTCCTCCTCCTCCTCCTCCTCCTCCTCCTCCTCCTCCTCCTCCTCCTCCTCCTCCTCCTCCTCCTGAGGTCCAGTGTGTGGGATTTTTTCCAGGTTGAGCTACGATTTTTAGAGCGGTGCATTTTGACAGGTTTTAGTGTTCAACTGTTCTTTGGCATGTGTGTTTGGAGGGGTCCCCCGAGCGGGAATTGCATTTATTCCTTGGAATCCAGTGTGTTGGATGTTCCAGTTTGAGCCACGAATTTTAGAGCGGTGCATTTTGACAGGTTTTAGTGTTCAGCTGTTCTCTGGCATGTGTGTTTGGAGGGATCGCCGCGCAAGCAGGAAATAGAGGTTTGTTGTTGGAATCAAGTATGTTGGTTCTTTCTTTCCGGGTTGGCCCTCGAACTTTAGAGCAGTTGATTATTTCAGTTTTGTGGTTTCATTTATTGCGCTGAATCCAAAGTGCAGCCCGCCATAACAAATCGAGACGGATTCAAGGAAGATTCGCCGTCAGTTTGTTGTTGGGAGTTTGAACTGATTGGTCTGATGTGTGTTGTCCCACCGTCGTTGTTTTGAACGTCAGTTACGGTCTCTCACTGTTTGTCCCCGACGCTCATTTGTTTTGGGATATGGCGTGTTCTCTTTGGCTTCCTGTGTGACATGTAAGAACAACGAGGGCGCCTCGGGTCAGGAACACCCTTGGCGGCACCCGAGGGGAGGGAGTCACGAGCGCGCCTCCGCTCGCTCCGGGGACCAAGGATGGTCCAAGAACGAGGGGGATCGGGGATCGAGATGGCGGAAAAGGCGAAGGTGGGGGAAAGGAGGAGGAGGAGGACCAGTGTAAAACCAAGACTCGCCAAATATGTTGGAATACACCCTCCCTCCAAGCTCCCTCTTCTTAGGCTCCTAGGAGGGCTCATTTCCAGCATCTCCAGTAAAGGAATTTCCCCCGTTGGGGGACAACCCTGTGGAAATCCTGAAGCGTGCCAAATTCAATCTCAGGACTTCAAAGCCACGAGTCAACCTGACTGTTGCGTCTTGACGATCCTGAGTCGTGCCACAGCACCAGTCCCAGGACCTCAACACTGCGAATCCACGTAATTGTCGCGCCCTGACAGTCCTGAATCCTTTCACACTGCCATTTCTCGTTCCCTAACCACGAGAACCAGTGAAATCTTCGCAAACATGAAATAATATTACACCTGAGAAAACCCAATCAGTGGATGATTTGAAAATTAGTCATCTGGATCTTGAGATCGATTGTGAGATCGATGATCAGATCGATAGTGGAATCGATAGAGGACGATTGTAAGGTCGATCGTGAGACCGAGAGTGAAATCGATTCAATGAGATCGATAGGCAGATCGATCGCGATATCGCTCGTGTGATCTCTAGTGAGATCGCTTGCGAGATCGTTTTTGAGATCGATTGTGAGATCGATGGTGCGATCGATAGAGGTGTGAGAAATGAGATCGATGCTGAGACCAATCGATAAGAAGATCGACCAGGAACCCGGGAACTTGGGAACCTCGCCGCCCACCGAAATCGGCCCGGGAACCGGGAACCCGGGACCCGGAACCGGCAACCTGGGAACCCAGCGTGCGACCAACATCGGCAAGAAATGTTCGCCAAATTTTTCAACCTCCGCTATAGCGGACCCCTTTCAGTGCAAGCACTGATTCGGGAATAAAAAACGAATATGCGTGGCGTTAAGGCGAGAGCCACGTGTTGGAAAGAAACCGCCATTAATCCGTGAGACTTATTTTGAAATTGCACCTGAGAAAACCCAATCAGTGGATGATTTGGAAATTAGTCATATGGATCGTGAGATCGATTGTGAGATCGATAAAGAGATCAATAGTGGAATCGACAGAGGACGATTCTAAGGTCGATCGTGAGACCGAGAGTGAAATCGATTCAATGAGATCGATAGGCAGATCGATCGCGAGATCGCTCGTGTGATCTCTAGTGAGATCGCTTGCGAGATCGTTTGTGAGATCGATTGTGAGATCGATGGTGCGATCGATAGAGATGTGAAAAATGAGAGCGATGCCGAGACCGATCGATAAGAAGATCGACCAGGAACCCGGGAACTTGGGAACCTCGCCGCCCACCGAAATCGGCCAACCCAGGAACCCGGAACTGGGAACCCAGGAACCCAGCGTGCGATCAAAATCGGCGGGAAATTTTCGCCAAATCCTTCAATCTCCGTTAGGACCCCTTTCAGTGCAGGCACTGATTGGGGAATTTAAGAACGAATCTGCTCGGCTCTACGGCGAGAGCCGCATGTTGAAAAGGGACTGCCCTTAATCCGTAAAGCTTTTGCAAATTGTTACACGAATGTGCGCGGCGCTGAGGCGAGAGCCACATGTTGAAAGCCGCCCGCCTTCAATATTTGAAACTCTTGCGAATGTTTAAAAAGAGTGTGCGCGGCGCTAAGGCGAGAGCCACATTTCGAAAATGACCCGCCCTCAATCCGTGAAGCTCTTGCATTTGTATCACGAGTGTGCGCGGCGCTAAGGCGAGAGCGACGTTTCGAGAACCACCCGCCTGTCATCTTTGAGGCTGTTCCACCGACTGCGCGCGGCGCTAAGGCGAGAAACGCTTGTTTGAAACCATGGGAGCGATTGGGACCCTCGGGAGCGCTGAGCAGCGCCTGGGAAGCGCCCGGGAGCGCCTGGAAACGCCCGGGAGTGCCTGGGAGCGCCTGGGGGCCTTTGGAGGCGCTGGGGAGCGCCTGGAGCCGCGCGGGAAGCGCCGGGCAGCGCTTGAGAGCGCCCTGGGGGGCGCCTGGGGACGCCTGGGAATGCCTGGCCTGGGAGCGCCTGGGTAGCGCCTGGGTAGCGCCTGGGAGCGCGGGGGGGGGGGGGGCGCACGGGAGCGCAAGGGAGCGCGTGGCCCGCCCTGCATCCGTACAGTTGTGGCCCGGTTTGAAGCCCTCAGGCTTGCCAGCTGCACGGGCGTGTCGTGAGAAGCGCCGGGCCCGCCCCTCCGGCGGGCCTCGGGGTGCGACGGCGAGGAGCTCTTCGGAGGGACGAGGAGTGGAGGAGGAGGGGGAGGAGGCGGAGCAGGAGGAGGAGGAGGAGGAGAAAGAGGAGGAGGAGGAGGAGGAGGAGGAGGAGGAGGAGGAAAAGTGTGAGAGGAGGAGGAGGGCGAGGACGAGGAGGACGAGGATGACGACGAGAAAGAGCAACAACAATGAAAATAAAAGGAGGAGGATGAGGAGGAGGAGGAGGAGGGATGATGAGGAGGAACGTTAAGCAGGGCTTCTGAGGATCTTGAAGGACCTGCTGAGGCGCCCAGGAGGATGAGAAGGAGAAGGGGAATGGAGGGGGAGAGGAGGTGGAAGAGACGAGGCGTGTGGATGAGTAATCTTATTTATGCGGTCTTCCAAGGAGGTCTAGTAGGTTCCAGGGGTCTGTGGGGAGGTCCGACGAGGAGGAAGGACGGGGAGGAGGGAGGGAGGAACCGAAGGAGGATGAGGAGAAGGAATGGGGCGGCGTATAATGAGGATAATTACGCAGCGTTCTAGGAAGTTCTAAGCATCTAGGGGGAGACCCAGTGTGGATGAGAAGTGGAAGGTGGATGGAAACAAGTGGAGATGAGGAAGAAGAAGAGGAGGCGGAGGAGGAATTCTGGAGTGAAGTGAAAACTGGTGGTGCAATACACCCTGCCGTCCCAAGACTTCACAATTCCATGCAAACAGCCCGTTCCATCACTTTCAGAAAGCGCCCCCTCGCAAGACGATGCGAGTGCCACATCTGTCTGCAATGTTGGCGAGAGTCTCGTTTTGAAGAGGACTTGCCTCGCATCGGTCTAGCTACTAGGCATGCGACGAGGTATGTGCAGACCGGTCTAGGAAGTGTCAGGCGTGATCCCCATTTTGCAAGAAGGAACCGCCCTCCATCTGCGCAACGGCTGCGCAATCATAAGTCCCAGGTCGTATGTCGAAGGCTCAGGCGATTTCCAATGTTGATACGGAACCGCTGGCCATTCGTGAAACGATTGCATATTATCAACCAGCTGAGGAAGTCCCATGTGGTAGCTTCATAGAAACAAGAAGCGCTATCGTCGTCGCTGATGAAAGGTTGCGCGACTCATGATGCGCGGCGCAGAAGCAAGAGCCATAATGGAAGCACGACGCGCTCTCCACGTTTGCATATGTTGGGACTTGTCACGACGCTTGTGTGTGGTGGTTCGGCACGCGGCACATGTCTTAAACCTCCTCCTCCTCCTCCTCCTCCTCCTCCTCCTCCTCTGGGCATTCCTTCTAAGACCACCGTAGAGCGTGTCGACGAGAGTGCGCGGGCGCCACGGCGAGAGCAACATTTTGAAATCGGCCCGCCGTCCAGTCGTGCAGCGGCTGAAGACTGCCAGCGCCAGGATCCGAATCGGTTGGACAGGATGAGGCCAGAAGCCCAGCCCGCCGCAACGGCAGATGCAGTGGTGCGACGAGGACAAGAAATCATATAACAGAGACATGGTCTGGAGGAGGAGAAATGATAAGGGGAGGGGGGTTCTAGAAGCTTGAGCAGCCTCTGATGTAGGATTTTGCGGAGGTCTAGCGAGGAGAGGGGATCACGAATGATTAGCAGGAGGAGGCAGGATAACGACGAGGACAATGACGATGATGTAAGGATGGGGAAGAGAAGGAGGAGTGAGAGTTTTTAACACAATAAGTATCACAGATGTTGCAATCAACCCTCCGTCCAAGTTCCCTCGCCACAGGTCCCTACAATAATTAATCGTCGTTGCGGGAAGTGCCATATTGAAAGACAGCCGTCTGATAATGCTCAGTAGTACCAAAACGCCATTCCTTGGATTTCAAGGCCGCGAATCAACCAACGTGCCTGCTGCGTCCTGGCAAGTCTAAATCGTGCCAGGACGCCGCTCCGGGGGCTTCAGCACCGCGAGTCGACGTGACCGTTGCGTCTTGACCATCCTAACTCGTGCCAGAACACCGTTCTGGGACTTGGACTTCGCGAGTCCCCGAAACTGCTATAAATAATCAAGACGAGTGCGCGAGGTGACAAGGCGAGAACCACATGTTGAAAAGAACCGCCCTCCATCCTTGAAGCTGCTGCAAGCTTGTAGGGCGTGCGCGGCGCTTTGGCGAGAGGCACATTCTGAAAAGGACCCGCCCTTCATCCTTGAAGCTGCTCCAAGCTTTGGGATGAACATGCGCGACACACTCACAGGCGATAACAACATTTCGAACAGGATCTGCCCGTCATCCTTGAAGCGGTTGCAAGCGAGCAAGCTCCAGGATCATAAGCGGCGAGGAGTTCTCAGGCGGAACGCCCACACCGCCCTACCGACAAGTCTGCGTGCGACGGGGAGGAGTTGTTCAAATGGAAACCCATTGAAGAGGAATATGAGGAGTGGTTGAGTGATAGGAGTGGGAACACGAGGAGTGGGAAGTTGTTCAACTGGAACATGAGTGAGAAGTGAGGAGGACGAAAGTAAGTGGTGACGAATTCTGCGGAACAAAAGGGGGGAGGAGGGATGGGGGAGGGGTCGCTGGGGCTTGGCTTGGGCGGAGAGGCAGAGAGCGAGGAAGAGAGAGAGAGAGAGAGAGCAGGACGAGGAGGACGAGGATGAGCTCAGGGAGCAGGAGGAGTCCACGAGGGCCCGCAGGCGGCGAGGATGCTGAGGACGACGAGAGGGAGGGCGCCGCCGTCCCCCCGCGAGGCCTGCACCGCCCCCGCGCTGGACACGTGCATGTACAACCTCTCAGGCCACGCCTTCCCTGTCATCCTCCTTCACTCCCCCTCCTCCTCCTCCCCCTCCTCCTCCTCCTCCTCCTCCTCTTTCCTCTTTCCTCTTTCCTCCTCCTCCTCCTCCTCCTCCTCTTTCCTCCTCCTCCTCCTCATCCTTTTCCTCCTCCTCCTCCTTTTCCTCCTCCTCCTCCTCACCCTCCAAGGACGACGGCCGAACCACGACCGAACAACGGCCACGACATCCGACCGAACGAGGACGACGGCGACGGCGACGGCGACGGCGACGACGATGGCTAAGACTACGGTGACGGCGCCGACTCCAGAGGGCTTCGGAGATCCCTTGAGCAACATGGAGCCCTCTGGAGTCCTCCGGAGGCAGGGCAAATGCCGACCGATCGTCCTTTCCCTCCTTTGACTCCTCCTTTTCCTCCCGTCCCCTCCCCCTTCCCCTGCATCCCCCCTCCTCCACCTCCTCCCGCCTCCGCCGTCTTCCCGCTCCTCCCCGCCTCATCCGATGACGGCGGCGACGACGCCGGCGCCGACGCCGACGCCGACGGTGACCGACCGACCGATCGACCCACCGACGGCGACAACGACGGCGGCGGCGGCGACGACGGCGACGCCGACGCCGACGGACGACGACGACGGACGACGACGACGACGACGACGACGACGACGACGACGACGACGACGACGACGACGACGACGACGACGACGGACGACGACGACGGCGACGACGACGACGACGACGGCGACGGCGACGACGAGGACCTACAACTTGTCGACGTCGACGACCGGCCCGACCTACCAAAGAATTTGTTTGTGGACCAACGAATGTTGGGGGGACCAGCGATTTTTTTTGGGACCAAAGCAAAGGCTCTTTGGTCCCGCCAGAAAGTTCTTTGGTCCCAGCAAAAACTCCTGTGGTCCCCCAAAAGATTGTTGGTCAAAAAAAAGATCTTTGGTCCCACCTGGCGTCGGTGCCACCCGGCCGACCGAGAGGCTGCGAGGGCGTCATGCCCGGCGGCTCCTGCCAGATCGCCTGCCTGCCGCCCTTCGCCGGGGCTCCTGCTGCTGGCAGGTCAGCGCCGCCGCTGCCGCTCGTCGTCGCTGCCGTTGGTCTTCGGCTGGTCGGTGTGTCGGACCTCGTTGTCGCTCGGCCCGATCGTCACTGGGGAGGGGGAGGAGGGGGGAGGAGGCGGTTGGAGGAGGAGGGCGAGGAGGAGGAGGAGGAGGAGGAGGAGGAGGAGGAGGAGCGGAGGGAGAGGATGGAGGAGGGGAGGCGAGATGGAGGAGGAGGAGGGAGAGGAAGACGGGGGGAAGGACAGATGGGGCAGAGGGGGAGGGAGGGCGGGCCGGAAGAGGAAAAGGCTGGAGGATGGAGCAGGAACGAGGTAGGACGGGTGGTGATGAGGGGGGAGGACGACGGGAAAGTTGGAGAGGGGGGAAATGGAGGTGGCAGGAGAAGGGAAGAGGGATCAGGCGGAGGAGGAAGAGGAGGAGGAGAGGAGTGGCGGGAGGTCGAGGAACAGGCAGGGGGAGGAATGAGCTCCTCTCCTTGGCCGCCACGGCCAGACGTGGCGTGGACAGTGGGATAGGGCCTGGGGACCGGCGTGGAACGGATTCCGGCCAGGGGTCCCTCCCTCTCCTGTGCCTCCTGCGCCGCCTGCGGAGGAGGGGGGAAGGCTGTTTGCAGAGATGTCAGGAGGGGAAGTAAAACGACGCGAAGATCGGGACAGAATCGGATCGGGATGACTCGAAATCTCTGAGAATCGGCGGGTTTGGAGGATGTATTGGGCGCCGCGGCCGCTCCAGAGCGTTCCGGAACGCTCTGAGAGCGCTCCGGAACGCTCTGGAGCGATTTATCCCGATCCTCGTCCTGTTTTAGGAAGAAACACACAGACACAATGAATCGTCGACCCCCTGGAAAAGATATAGGAAACTATGGGGAGGTGGGGGGGAAGGCCAAAAAGCCCAGAGACTATGGGAAACTGTGGGGCAGCTTTTTACCTGTGTGTGTTCATTTCTGTGTCCCAGGGCCCCCTCAAGATGGCCGGCCGCCGCGGAGCTCTCCTCCGGGTGCGCGGCGCAGAGGGGCGGGGCTCCGCCTGCGCCGGCATCTGGCGCGCAGGCGGCCCGCGTGAGGTCTGCGCAGCAGCGCCCTCGCTGCCGGTGCAGCGCGCCGCGCGGCCGGCCCGCGCGAGCTGCGCCGTAGGGGCGCTGGGCCCTTAGTGGGCCCTGGGAACGACAGGGCCGTTTTTTTTACCGGTTCCGTTTGGCCTTTTTTTAACCGGTTCCGACGCCGTTTTGTTACCGGTTCCGTCGCCGTTTTTGTACCGGCTCCGGCTCCGGCTCCAATCCCGAAGCCGTTTTTTGGGCCGTTTCTGGTCGCCGTTTTTTTTGCCGTTTCCATTTTCGAGGGGCATTTTGTTGGAAACAGTGAAAAACGGCCCTGCCGTTTCCATCCGTTTCCGCGGCCCACAAAGGTTGGGCCACCTCGCGTGAGGCCCGCTTCTGCCCGTGGCCCATGTGTGACCAGTTCAGGAGGGGAGACAACACACAGACACAATGAAGCGTCGATTCCCCAGAACATGTGGGAAGATATGGGAAGTGGGGGGGGAGACGGAGATCCAGAAAAGAGGGGGATTTATGGGGAATCCTGTTATTTGTGTCTATTTGTTTGTGTGTCCCAGGGCCCCTTCAGCAGCGGGAAGCCGACCCCAGCCCCCAAAACAATGGATTTTACATGTCAGCGTTTTTTTAATTCTGGCGCACGTGCGCAAGTGTAGGCGCCCTGTAAGGGAGGCCACTGCCACCTGCCGCGCAGGGGGGCGGGCCCGCGCGCGCGGTCTGCTTGGTCTAGAGCTCCTCGTGTGGGGGGCGGGGGGTGGCGGTTTTCGCGCGTTTCAGAGCGTGAGTTACCTACCCCGCTTCCGCTTCCAGGCAAAACCAAGCCATACCACGCGCCTCCTCGTCAAGCGGCCTGACCAGTACAGGCTGCAATTTGGCATCGTTTGGTATCTCTTGGAAGCGAGGGTGGTCAAAAGCGAGGTAGGTTTGTTTTTTCCCTAAAGGTGTCCTGCCGGCAACACGGACCCGCTGACGCCGCTCCAGGTCCCCTTCGCGCCCAGGTGCTCTCTGCCCTGCTCGGCCCCTGGCACCGTGCCCGAGGGCTACGCGCTGGCGCCCGACGGCAGCTGGATGTGCGCCGACGGCTTCGCCGGGGCCGCGCAGGTCGGCTGCGCGTAAGGGCAGTGGTCTTCGGTGCGGGCCCACCGGGGGCCGCCCGATCGCTGAACGAGACGCGATAGCAGCGGCTTGCGCGCTTGATGTTGCCCCTCCCCCCCCCCGAGACCCCCGAAAGCCGCGCATCGACGGTCCCTCTTGCCCAGGGTCACCCTTAAGTGTACAGTCCAGCAGGTTACCTGCCAGATGGGCCCCGACTGCCAGCTCGAGGCGGCGTTCGCTGGATGCCTCTGGGTGACCAGGCCCGGCTGCGCGCAGAGAGACCGTGGGTCTGGCATGAGGGGGGCGGCGCTTCTGAGGAGGCCTCCTGGATGGGGTCCGAGCCGATGGCGTCGGAGGATCGCGCCGCATCGGCGATCCGATTCGGCTCGGTGTGGGACCCGATTTTCTCCACGCCGACGTCGCCGCTGCATCGCCGACGTCGACGATGCATCGCCGATGTATCGCCAATGCATCGGCTCGCCGATGTATCGGCGATTCGGTGCAATCCTCCGGCCCCATCTATTTGGGTCCCATCTAGGAGGCTTCTTTTCTTTGGAGGCAGGGGGCGCTTGAGGCCTCCTGGCTCTTGGCTTCTCGAGCCCTTGAGGGGCCCCCCTGGGGACTGACGCAGACCCCCGGCGTCGTGATTCGTCCACGACGTGGGCCCCAGAGGTCCCGACCCCTTCCCCCTGACTGGCTGCTCATCCTGGAAGCTGCTTCTGACGGCCCAATGGGGACCTGTTTCAAGCCCGTGGGAGGCCGAACTTGCCAGAAGCCTCGAGGCTGTTTCTCGTCACCACGCGCCCCCCCCCCCGCAGGCCCTGCTCCGTGCCGGTGGTGGACATGCACTGCGAGCTGGACGCTTCGGACTGCGCGGGTGCCCTCCTGGACGCCGGGGCGTCCTGCGAGCTGCGGTGCCGGGGGCCCTACGCGGGCACGGCGGGCTACGCGGCGTGCCCGCCGAACAACTCGGAGGCTGGGGCGCCCGCGCAGTGGAGCCCGCCGCAGTGCGCGCTGGCGTGCCCTGACCCGAGCCCGCGGCCCGCCGGCTACGCGCGCGACGGCGACGCCTGGCGCTGCGCGGCCAACCACACCGGGGCGGCGGCGCTGTCCTGCAGCGTCAGCAGCGCCTGCGTGGTGTCCTCGCAGCTCACGGGCTGCGTCGAGGCCGCTCGTTGCGGGGCACACGCCCGCGCGCATGCTTGTTTCTCCGACGCGCTGATGGGACACAGTTGGTGGTTCGCAGTATACGAGAACTGGTATATGTATACACACATGCATATATACATAAATGCATGCACACATACCTATACATATACAAACATACATGCATACATACATGCATGCGTTCATACATAAATACACACATACACACATACATACATACATACATACATACATACATACATACATACACACATACATACATACATACATACATACATACATACATACATACATACATACATATATATATACATACATACATACATACATACATACATATATACATATATACATACATACATACATACATACATACATACATACATACACACAACCATACATACATACATACATACATACATACATACATACATACATACATACTTAATTACATACTTACTTACTTACATACATACATACATCCATACATACATACATACATACATATATGCATGCATACATGCATACATACATACCTACCTACATACATACATACACATACATACATGCATACATACATGCATACATACATACATACATAGGTACATACACACATACACACATACACACATACACACATACATGCATACATACATACATACATGCATACATACATATGTACATACGTACATACACACATACACACATACACACATACATACATACATACATACATACATACATGCATGCACGCATGCATGCATGCATGCATACATACATACATACATACATCTACATATGTGTACATGTATGCACTAATCTATGTAGAGAGAGAGGGGGAGAGAAAGAAAGAGAGAGAGAGAGAGAACAAAGAACAAGTAGATGCCAGGGTGCGCTCAGGCTCTCGCGCCCCCACACACACAAACACACGCGCAGGCGCACACGCACGCGCACACACACAAGCGCCGAATCGCCGGCCGGTCTCCGCCATCTTCGGGGCACCGTGGTGGGCTTCCTGGGGGAGGGCGCCGATGTCGCGGCCAGCCCTCGTGCTCACTGCCTGCCTTCGCTCTCGTGGCTTGCGAGCGCTGGCGACCTCGAGGGCACCCGTGAGGTCCAAAATCCGGATGGCCGCGCGCCAGAAGGGCGCGCGAAGGCCTGCCGAAGATCTGTGGGAGGACCTGGAGAGAGCTTCCGAAGGACCTCCTGGAGAGCTTCTGGGCACGCGTCGTGGGAAGCGCTGAGAAAACGCCTGCAGGAACACGCTGCAAGCTCAGGCGAGCCCCGCCGAGGTGTCCTGCCAGAAGCGAGGACGAGCTCCGGGGCTACCCTGCGGCTCCGGCTTCTCAATCGGAAGCCCTTTTTTAGCCCGCTGCGAGCAATCCTGGAACACTCTCGTCTGACCGTGTTTGCTTTCTTCGCCGGCGTTTGCGCGGCACTTGCGCGGTGAGGTGCTTCTCAGGAGGAAAAGAAACACACAGACACAATTAATCCTCGATTCCCCCGAAAATATGGGAAAATATGGGAAGTGGGGGGGAAGACAGAAACCCAGAAAATATGGGAAAATATGGGGATTATTTTTATTTGTGTGTATTTATTTGTGTGTCCTGGGGCCCCTTCAGCTTCGTGGCACGGGGGCGAAGGCGACCGGCACTGCCGCAAGCTGGGCGGCGGGGTTCCCGTGCCGCGCGCGTCCCCGGCAGCGGCCGCGGGGTCCTGGGAGACGAGGGCCGCGCGGGCGGCCCCAGAGCGAGCACGCAGAGGCACTCTTGTGGAGGACATGGGGAGGGGAATCAGGAGGGGAAAAAACACACAGACACAAGTAATCCTCGATTTCCCAGAAAATATGGGAAAATATGGGAAGTGGGGGGGAAGACAAAAACCCAGAAAATATGGGAAAATATGGGGAATCTTTTTATTTGTGTGTATTTATTTGTGTGTCCCAGATCCCCTTCAGGGAAGGCCTTCTGCAGGAGGCGATGCGAAGATAATCAAAAGATAGTCAGGGGACGTTTTGTTCGCCTCTTTTTTTTTTTGGGGGGGGGCGTATTTTTGAATCGTTGCTGGGTGTTTTTGTGGATCGTTTTGAATCGTGGTCGGGTGCTCTCTGTTTTTCGTCGAGAATCCGCCTGTAAGAGGACATGCCCGGCCTAAAAGTGCACGTCGCTCCGGCTTGCGGACGCGAGGGAGAAGCCCTCGCGCCCTCTGAGACGTGCTTCTCTCGTCTTCGGGGAAGGCTCAGAAACCTTCTCAGAAGGCCGCGGGGCTCCCGAGCCTTCTGAGATGGCCTCCTCCTTCTCACTGCACCCCCGGGCTCGCCACCGATTTCCCCCCGCGCCGTGGCAAGGCCGGCCGGCCAGCGAGCTGCGGGGCGCGCAGGCTCAAAGCGCAAGCGCGCGTATGTGAGGAGGGAAAATCGTACAGACCCAAAGGATCGTCGATCACGAGGAAAATATGGGAGCATAGGGGAACTGGGGGGGAAGAGGGAAACTCAGAAAACATGTGAAAGCATGGGGCGTCTTGGGATTTGTGTGTGTGTGTGTGTCTAGTTGAGTGTCCCTGGGCCCCGTCACTATGTCGATCTCGCCCAGGCCCAAGCCGTGCTCTCTCGCTGCCGAGGGGCAGGCCGAGGCGAGCGGCACACAGGAAGCTGGGCCGTTCATGTTGCACCAAGCAGTGCATGCGCGTGATAGACGGTGCATCGACAAAATGTTGCACCACCCGGCGCTGACAACAAATCGCATCGCTGTTATACCAATCGTTTGTTTCCCCCCCTCCTCCTCCTCCTCTCCTCCTCCTCCTCCTCCTCCCCCTCCTGCTCCCGAGATTCGGTCTCTTTACAACCAGAACAACCACTTTACAACCAGATGGGTTACTTTACAACCAACATAGGATTGGAAAGTATGGTTTTTCATCGAGAACGTTCACTTTGCAACCAGAACGGCCCACTTCACAACCAGAACGGGCCACTTTACAACCAGAACGGACCACTTTACAACCAGCTCAGAGTGGCCGCGCGTGTTTGGGCGTTCCGCAAAGTGCTCCAGAGCAAGTGGGCGCTCTGAAAAATGCCGAGCAAGTGGGCGCTCTGAAACATGCTCCAGAGCAAGTGGGCGCTCTCAAAAGTGCTCCAGGGCGCGCGGACGCTCTGAAAAGTGATCCAGAGCACGTGGGCGCTCTGGAGCCCGAGCGCCTGAACTCTTTGCGCAGGCCCCAGCGATGCCTCTGAGCCCGAGGACCTGGACGCTCTGCGCAGGCCCCAGCGATGCCTCTGAGCCCGAGGCCCTGGACGCTCCGCGCAGGCCCCAGCGATGCCTCTGAGCCCGAGCGCCTGGGCGCTCTGAGCAGGCCCCAGCGATGCCTCTGAGCCCGAGCGCCTGGACGCTGTGGCGCTCTGAGCCCAGCAGACTAAGACAGGGCTTGCTAGCAGGGGCCAAGCGGCCTCAACAAGGGCCCCTTGCTCGCACGGGAATAAGGCGACAGCGTGCGTAGGAAGGCCCAGGGCGACGCGCTGCCCATTTTAGGGGTCACTCACAGGAAGCGGGCCCAGTGGCCTCCACAAGGGCCCAGCGCTCCAGGGAACTAGGCCATTGACACCGCGGGTCTCTTGGGCCACGTTGGCCCCTGAAGCCTCACGGTGTTCTGTAAGGGGCTAAGTGCGCCAGCTCCAGTTGGCCCCCTGCTGCTCCTCGTCTTGGAAGATCGAGGTTCAACGTTCCGAATAAATGCAACTATTCCGAAGATCGTTTCTTACAGCGTCAGCCACAGTGCCAGCGCAGCAACGCAGGTATCCTGCTCGGGCAGCAGCCTCAGCCACCGTGCCAGCGCAGCAGCTTGAGCCACCGTGACAACGCATCACCGCCACCTTTGTGCCTGCTACCGCCACGCTTACCGCTGCAGCCCCGCTACCTCCACAATTCCGACTGACCCCCCGCTACTACCGCAAATCCCATTGCAGCCCAGCTACCACCACAGTTCCCACCGTTGCTTGGCGACCACCACAGTTGCCACCGCAGCTTCCCAACACCATGCAGTTCCCATTGTAGCCCCCGCTACCACCACATCTCCCACTGCAGCTTTCCACTGCCATGCAGCTCCAGTCTTGGACGGGATCATGGTTTATGCGTATGTCTTGCGCGACTAGCCTTCGCCCGTCAGAAAAAAGGCAGAGCAAGCAATGGCAGAACTGACCGACAGAGCTTAGAGAGCAGGTCAAACTCGAATCCGCCCACCAGCACGCAACATGCCATAGCGCACCAGGTCGCCGCATCGCCAACTCGCGCGCAGTGCTTCTTCGTGCGCGATGGGCAACTTTACAACCAACATGCCTCAAAGAGCCCAAAGCCACCCTTGCGCTTGCCCACGGAGATTTCAGGGAAAGGCACGCGTGCATTCAATATGTGTTTTTACTTGCCTGGTTGTAAAGTGCCCTTCCTGGTTGTAAAGTGCCCTTCTCGGATTATGTAAGCTGGTTGTAAAGTGACCCATCTGGTTGTAAAGTGCGCTTCTGGTTGTAAAGTGACCCACACGCTCCTGCTCCCCCCTCCTCCTCCTCCTCCTCCTCCTCCTCCTCCTCCTCCTCCTCCTCCTCCTCCTCCTCCTCCGGGCTGGTCGACACAGCTCGGCGGTGCAACATCTTGTCGGGAGCCCCCGGGCGGGCCGCCCAGGCCCAGGCCGTGCTCTCTCGCTGCCGAGGGGCAGGCCGAGGCGAGCAGCACGCAGAGGCCACCGGACCGCTGCTGTTGCACCAAACAGCGCGCGCGCGTGGTACAGGTACTCCAGATTTCGTAGTAAAAGGGAGGGGGTCACAACCCTCCCAGACAAGAAGTTTTGCACCCCCCCAGACTATCCATGAAAGGGCGGCCCTTTGCCCAGGCCCCCCCGAACCCTCCAAGACAGCTCAAATTAGACCGTGGACAGAACCCCCAACAGTGACACGTCGATTAGTGAATTGTCCGTTTTCGGTTCTCGAGAGGGCGCCGTGGCCGTTCTTTTCCAGGCGTGCGCCCGCCAGGTTTGGGCCTCAGGTCGTGCTCACTAAACCACGTTTTGCTAAAGGGGGGTCTGTCCATCCCCGGTAGACACCGGCGTACACGTGGGAGTGAGGCGGCCGAACGGGCACTCGCTGTCCTTGGGCGCGCGGCTGAAGTGAGGCTCTGCGGGGCGGATTGTCGCTGTTGCTGTTGTTGTTGACTCCCCATTCCAAAAGAGTATGTGTTGTTGATCCCCCCCGTCTGGTAAACATTGCATTTTTTGCTGAAGTGCCTCTCCCAGTGCTCGCACCCAGTTTTGCACTTGGGAAAATGGTGTCACCAAACTGGGCCCTTGGCCCCCGGTTTACAACAACAGCAGCTCCCGCCTAATATTTTCTCACGAAGTATTCCCAAATCGCGCTCTCGCGCGGGACATCCTTGCAATTTATGCAGGAATCGCACTCTCGCGTTGAATTTCTTCGCAATTTGTTCAGACGCCGCACCCACCATCGACACACAGGAAACACGCTCTCGCTGTCGATTTCCGCACAACTTATTTGGGAAGAGCGTTATCGCTCGAGACGTCCTCACGATTCATGCATGACGCACGCTTCAGCAACTCGCCTGCCCCTTGTCCCTTCCTTTCATCCGTCCTCTCTTCCCCTGCCTTAGGGGCTGAACGAAAACACGTTGCAGAAAAGGAAGATTTACCCATAAGGGGGCACGATCAAAGACGAAGAGGGCGGGTATCGATGGTTTGGAATCTATGTGTTGAAGGTCACGCGAACAGATAAGAGCGAACAGTCTTAAAATGATTGTTGTTGTTGGTGTTGTTGTTTTGATTGAGTTTTCATTTCTGAACAGTATTTATTGTTGATACCCCCTACCCGGTGCACATTGTTTTTTTTTTTTCACTTGAAGTGCCCTTCCCGGGGCTCGCACCCTGTTCTTTATCAGGGAAAGTCTTGAGCCTCAAACAACACCCCCAGCCCCCGAGTTACAACAACAACGGCTCCCGCCTGATATTTCCTCACAATTTATTCCCACCTCGCGCTCTCGCGCGGGACTTCCTCACAATGTATGCAGGGATCGCGCTCTCGCGTGGGATTTCCGCGCAATGTATTCAGACGCCGCGCCCTCGACACTCAGAAATCACGCATTCGCTGTGGATTTCTTCACGATTTATTTAGGAATCGCGCTATCGCTCAAGATTTCCTCGCGATTCATGCAGGGCGCACGCTTCAGCAACCCGCCTGCTCGACCTGGCCGCCTGGGCTCGCCTTCCCTACCCGCCCGTTCGGGTCTATCCGCCCGATCTGCCCGTCTGGTTCTGCCACGTGTTTTCTGCTCCTAGCCCCCTTTCTGCTACTCTCTCTCGTGCTCCATCCTCCTCCTTCCCACTTGTCCCTTCCTTCCATCCGTCCCCTATTCCCCTGCCTGAGGGGCTGCACGAAATACACGCTCAAGAGAAGGAAGATATACCCCCAAGGGGATACGGTCGAAGACGAAGAGGGCGGGGGTCGAGGGTTTGGGATATACGTGTTAAATGGCACGCGAGCAGATAGGAGCGATCAAGATTAAAATGATTGTTGATGTTGTTGTTGTTGTTGTTGGTGGTGGTGGTGGTGATGTTGTCGTTGTTGGTGTTGCTGTTGCTGTTGCTGTTGCTGTTGTTGCTGTTGCTGTTGCTGTTGATGTTGTCGTTGATGTTGTTGTTGGTGTTGTTGTTGGTTGTTGTTGCTGCTGTTGTTGTTGGTGTTGTTGGTGTTGTTGTTGATGATGTTGTTGTTGATGTTGTTGCTGTTATATTTGTTGTTGTTGTTATTGTTGTTATTGTTGTTAGTTGTTGCTGTTGTTGTTGTTGCGGTTGTTGTTGTTATTGTTGTTATTGTTGTTAGTTGTTGTTGTTGATGTTGCTGTTGTTGTTGTTGCTGCTGTTGTTGTTGTTGTTGTCATCATGGTTGTCATTGTTGTTGTTGTTGTTGTTGTTGTTGTTGTTGTTGTTGTTGTTGTTGTTGTTGTTGAACATTATTACTTCTAAAGAATAATTATTGTTGGGACCCCTGGTGCACGACCCCCCTCCAAAACCTAGGCCGCAGCTACATTTTCATCATTTTTCTGCGAAAGCTTCAGAAAAGTGGATTGTCACCGGATCCGGTTTTTTGTTCCCCCCCGCTTTCCCTTGCAAAAAACACTATAAAATGAAATTTCTTGTTCAAATGTAATCAAATTTCAAGAATCCCTTGCAAAAAATAAGGTAAAGTGGACATTCGCGCGTGCAAGACGAAATCCTTCCAAAAGCTTAGTGTTCGGAACGATTTTAACATAAAAACATCAAAAAACCAATGGTTTTTCAACAAAAAAATGTCAAAATCTCATCCCGCGCGCTCTTGCGGATTCGTAGGAAACCCAACACTTTTTAAACATTTCTGTCAAACGGGCTTTTGCGAGCAACTTTTTCGAACTTCTGCGACAACGGTTGCGCACCTGCCAGGGCCATCATCCCTGTCAAATAATACCATGCGGGACACATTCGTTTTTTCTTCGCGCGCGCACGCCGAAATCTCCAAAAACCATTGGGTTCTTAAGAATTTTAGCACCGCGCATCATAAAATCACACGAATCGCACCGTAGGTCCTCGAAAAACAGCTGCACGACTTTTTTGACCAAGTTCTGTGGGTGTGTACCCCACGCCAGTGTAGTAGCCACGGTCGTCCGCACGCCACGAAGTGAAGTGTCCCAACGTCATAGGGCGGGAAGCTGGGTTTGGGTGGTCGCGAAGAGTCGTTTGGATATTTGGTAGAGCTTGTAATGCCCCCCCACGAAGTGGGGGTATTGCCTGGTGTCGTATGAAAACCCTGGCACTGGGGAGAACACCACGCGTTCGGGTAAAATGATTGTTGTTGTTGTTGTTGTTGTTGTTGTTGTTGTTGTGTGTTGCTGTTGCTCTTATTTTTGCTGCTGCTGCTGCTGTCATGATTGCTGCTGCTGCTGCTGCTGCTGCCGTGGTAGTGGTGGTGGGTGCTGCCGGCTCCTTTCTGACGCACGACTGCGGACCGGGCTCCCGCCCGAGCCCCCGGCGGCGTCCGCGCCGGCCCGGCCACCGCGCGAGCGGGGGCCCGCGACCCGGGCCCCCTCTCGGCTGCCGACGCGGGGGCCCTTGGCATCGCTCGGACGTGTGCATCTCTTCTCGGCGAGAACTCAGGAGTGTTAAGGCCCAGTGAAGCGACCCCCCCCCCCCCTGTAAGTTTCGTTCAGTGCGTCGCCCGAGCGTCGCCCGTGCGCCGGCCCTGGTTTGCGTCTCTGTCCCGAATCCCGGCCTCCCAGAGTGCGTGGGCGACATATGGCGCGACTTCGGAATTTCTCTGGCGACGAATGCGCGACGCACCTCCTTTCGCGAAGGGGGGGGGGGTCAGCACGCCGGTCGCTTTACTGGGCCTTAACACTCAGGAGGGGAAGCAACACACAGACACAATGCATCGTCCACTCCCAGGGAAATATGGGAAAATATGGGAAGTGGGGGGGGGAAGGCAAAAACCGAGAAAATACAGAAAAAAATGGGGAATCCTCTTTTATTTGTGTGTATTTATTTGTGTGTCCCTGGGCCCCTTGAAGGACCATCGAGGACCATCCTGGACCATCGAGCAAAAAAAAAACACGCACGAGACCGAAAAGTGCACGGGGAATGGACGTCCGAGCGACGGGCAAGGGGCCGAACGAGCGGGCTCGATCCCAGGGCGCCGAACGAGCCCAGGGGAGCCCTCTGTCGGGGAAGACGTAAAAGACTCGAGTGAGCCAGAACTCGGGTTCGCCGACGCTCTGTGACGAGCGCGTCCTGGGTTTTCTGGCGGTGCAGTTTCCGCGGGATGTCTGCAGCGGGAGCTCGCGTCGAATTTCAGACTGGGCCTCATCACTTTTTGTGACGGCCCCGTCAGGCCAACCTGAGTCCCCCGTACCCGAGTCTCACGTCTCGATGATGACACTGATGACGATGACGTTGGTGACGGCGACATGATGACACGGATGACGGCATCCGGATGACATCATGATGGCATGATAACATCATCAATGTGATCGTCATCATCAATGTCATCATCATCAACCCTGGGGAAGGACGGGGGGCCGGCCCTCCCCAGGCAGAGTCTCACGTCTCCCCAACCTCGGGGAAGGACGGGGGCCCCCCGGCCCTCCCTAGAGGAACCCCTAGAGGAACCCCTAGAGGAGGAGAAGGAGGAGGGGGAGGAGGAGGAGGGGGCAGGAGGAGGAGGAGGAGGAGGAGGAGGAGAAGGAGGAGGAGGAGAGGAGAAGGAGGAGGAGGAGGAGGAGGAGGAGGAGGAGGGAGGAGGGGAGGAGGGGAGGGGGAGGAGGAGGGGGCAGGAGGAGGAGGAGGAGGAGGCGGAGGAGGAGGAGGAGGAGCAGGAGGAGCAGGAGGAGGAGGAGGACGACCAGGCGGAGGAGGACGACCAGGCGGTGGGGACCCGGCCCTCCCCGGGCAGAGGCGCAGCCGTGCGCGGCGCCCGCCGGCCTCTCGGCCGCGGGCTGGCCGTGCGAGGTGGACGCCTCGGCCTGCGCCGCTGGGCTGCTGGCCCCAGGCCGCGGCCTCCGCCCCGTCCTCCCCCCCCCCCTTCGGGGGCAGACGGTGGTCGAGGATCAAGGAGGATCGAGGAGGAGGAGGAGGAGGAGGAGGAGGAGGAGGAGGAGGAGAAGGAGGAGGAGGAGGAGGGGAGGAGAAGGAGAGGAGGAGGAGGAGGAGGAGAGATTGAGGATTGAGGGAGGAGGAGGAGGAGGAGGAGGAGAGGAGGAGGAGGAGGAGGAGGAAGGGGAGGAGGATCGAGGGGGGAAGAAGAAGAAGAAGTTGAACTGGAGAAAGATCGATGCTCGAGGATCGAGGCGAGGGAGGATGCAGGGCTGAGGATCGAGGAGAATGAGGAGGAGGAGGAGGAGGAGGAGGAGGAGGAGGAGGAGGAGGAGGAGGAGGAGGAGGAGGAGGAGAGGAGAGGTCTAGAGACGAGGTGTTTCGATGCTTTGCAGTGGCCCCCGGAGGCTGCTCGTTATCGTCGTCGGCGCCCTCCTCCTCGGCCTCTTCCTCCTTCTCCCAGGATCGAGGCTAGGGAGGATCGAGGGCCGAGGGCCGAGGATCGAGGAGGAGGAGGTAGATGAGGAGGAGGAGGAGGACGACGAGGAGGAGGAGGAGGAGGAGAAGGGGTAGTATGAGTAGCAGGAGGAGGAGGAAGAGGAGGAGGATCGAGCATCGAGAGTCACGGTGTTTCGATGCTTTGCGGGGGCCCGTCGAGGCTGCTCGTTATCGTCGTCGTCGCCCTCCTCCTCGGCCTCATCCTCCTCGGCCTCCTCCTCCCCCTCCTCCTCCTCCTCCTCCTCCTCCTCCTCTTCCTTCGTCTCCTTCTTCTTCGTCTTCTTCTTCTCATTACCATTAGTAGTAATAGAATTTGTATTATTTTGATTAGTATTATTATCATTATTCCTAGAATCATTCCTTATTATTACTACTAATAGTATTAATTCGTTATGTTTATTTTTATTGTGGTTAGTTTTATTATTACTATCATCATTATTATTATGCTTATTATCATCATTATTATTATTATTATTATTATTATCATTATTATTATTATTATTAGTAGTAGTAGTAGTAGTAGTAGTAGTAGTAGTAGTAGTAGTAGTATTTGTAGTATTAGTATTGTTATTGTTTTTATTACTATCATTCTTAGTATGATTTAATCGCTTCGCTCATTCCGCCGGCCCTGGAGCGCTATTTGGGGCCTCTTGGGGCCGTCTTGGGGGCTTCTTGGGGGCTTCTTGGGAGCGTCTTGGGGCTCCTTGGCAGCGTATTGGGCTCCCCTGGGGCCTCTTGGGGGGCTCTTGGGGGCCCCTTGGGGCGGGAGGGGGGGTAGTCGTTGGCCCCCCCCCCCCTCGGAGGCCACGATCGTCGTGAGGGGTGGCGAAAAATAGCCTCCCCCCTTGGGATCGCCCGGGGATCAGCCGGGGATCGGCCGGGGTACTTTTCGTCCGGGGCCCCCCAGGGGCCGCCCCGCGCGCGCGAACTAGAAATATTGTTAAGTAGTTACCGGACATCTTAGCACGCCTCTGGCCCGTTGGGACAGCGAATTATTATTATCCTCCTCCTCCTCATCATCATTTTCTTCCCTCTCCTCCTCCTCCTCCTCCTCCGCCTCCGTCTCCTCCTCCTCCTCCTCCTCCTCCTCCTCCTCTTCCTCCGCCTACGTGCGCGAATGGCAGTGACATTTGTACGAGGACAACTTCGACATCACCATCGCAAAACGCTTGCGGGCCTTGTTCCCTAAGTAACTCGTGGCTGTCAGGAGCGATGTGTCTGAAGGACGTCTACGTCGGCGACAGCGAGAGGATCATCCACCCATGCAGCCTGTTCCTGCACCGACGCCCGACTACACCGAAGACGACTGGAGCGACGCCATCCGGCAGCTCGACACGCTGGTCGGGGTGCTCGTCAACTGGGCCTGCGATTGGCCCCCCGACTTGAACAGCGACCGCTGGGACACCACGCAGTCGAGGGAGGACAACTGGATGGACCGGTGCGAGGAGCACGTCTGCAAGGTCCTGCGCCGACAGGGATGGCGAGTCATGTTCCCCGAGGTCACCGAGGGCATGCTGCGGTCCCATGCTCGCAGCATCTGCGAGCCTGCGCGGGGGGACTCCGCCGGGCCGCGCACCGCGCGGACCGAGGAGACCCAGCTGGAGCTCAACCCGGCGGCTGCTGAGCACCGGCAAGAGTGGCTGGCTGCTGCGGGCCCGATCAGCGACCCCACGGACCCCACACTTTACCGGTTTGAAACATATCCCCATCCTTATGTTCGACATCACCTCACCTCGATGCCGATCTTAAGGATCCCTTCAGTTTCTGAGGGCCCATCCCCAAGACGGTCCTCGCTTCTTGCTCGCCCATCTTAGGGGTAGGGATAAGTTCGAGGCTGGTTAACACTGACGGACGCCGCCAGCAGCCACATCCACGCCGGCGCCACCGCAGCAGGCGACCGCCCTGCCCTCTGCCAGCTCTCCCTGGCCCGGTGGAGGGTTGCCTGGAGGCGGGTGACCGCCCGCAGCCTGCCGTGCTGCCGCCTGGCCTCCCCGGGCCTGCCGGGAAGACACTTGCGGGTGGTCGGGCTGCGATTGGGTCGGGCCTGTCCCTCTACAGGGGGAGTGTTCAAAGATAGTCAAAAAATAGTCTGAGGACTATGCTTTTTGACCATTTTCGAGCATTTTTCTGTTTTTTCTGAGGGGGGAATGTTCAATTTGTCGTCCAAGATCGGCCTGTAGGGGGACATGCCCGACTTCAGGCTTCGAGCTTTCAGCTTCCTGTTCAACCTGACCGTCGAGGATGCATCTTCGGCTGTGACAGAGCCTTATCAAGTTAGGTTAAGTTGCTTCAAACACAACGAAGAAGAGGAGGAGCAGGAGCAGGAGGTGGAGGAGGAGGAGGAGGAGCAGGAGGAGGAGGAGGAGGAGCACTGCGAAGCGGAGGAGGACGAGGAACACGAAGAGGTGCACGAGGAATACAAGGAGGAACTCGGCGAGTAGGAGGAGCAGGAGGAGGAGAAGGAGGAGGAGGAGGAGGAGGAGGAGGAGGAGGAGGAGCAACAGGAGGAGCAACAGGAGGAGCAACAGGAGGAGCAGGAGGAGCAGGAGGAGAAATATGAGGTCGATGACGAGGTAGGGGATGAAGGGGGAGATAAGGATGAACAGGAAGAAAACGACAACGAGGAATAGCAACAGGAGCGTGACATTGATTTCGTGGGAGGAGAGGGTCACGAGGATGGAGGAGGAGCAGGAGCAGGAGGAGGCGGAGGAGGAGGAGGAGGAGGAGGAGCAGGAGGAGTCCGTAGCCATTTTGGCTCAAGTCCGTAGCGTTTCGCTCAGGGACTGAGGCCTCTTGGCGTGGGGGAGGCGCGCCCCCGCCTGTGATCCTGCGGCCAGTTTCTGGCTTCAGATTTTGTGAGCTCCTGCTGGAGCAAGTTTCTACAATTACTTTCTCCGTGCGTAGACCACCCCCCGCACTCCGATGGGTTCTTCTCGTCGCGGCCAGCCTAGTATGCGTGACGATAAGGGCGATGCTCGGCAGTGGACGTGGGTGGGTCCAGTCAAGAAGCAGGACGAGGACAGCAGTGGTTCCTCGAAGTCTCCGTGTCCCCACTGTGGCTGCAAGAAGAACCTTCCCCGCTTCTGGTTCTGCAAGCACTGCCTCCAGCCCCTGTCCTACGTGCAGCCTACCGCCCAGGCGCCAGCCCAGGGCGTGTGGGCGGAGCTTCCGCCACTGGGCTCCCTGCCAGCTCACGGCGAGTCGGCCAAGGGACCGAAAGGAGGTGGCAAGGGCAAGGGCAAGAAGGGGGAGACCAAGGGGGGCAAGGGCTACCTGCTCACTTTCCCTGGCCCGAAGCAGGTGGGTCCGCAGGCCTATTTCGGCCCACCGCCGCCCCTGCAACAGGTGCTCCCTGCGGGGCTCCAGCTTCAGGCATCAGGTTGGGTCCCGCCTAGCGCCATGGCTGGCGCGAATGCTGACAAGGACTCGAAGTACAAGGTTGAGGACATACCCAAGCTGCAGGGCCTACTCCGCACTTTCGAGAGCCTGGGCGACGGCCAGAGTGTCAAGTACTACCAGGGCCTCATCGACAGGCTGCAGCGTGCTGCTGAGCCCAAGCAGCCTTCGGTGGGAGCGGCCCAGCACGCGATGCGGGAGGCCAAGCAGCAGCTGGACAAGCGCGTCAAGACAGCGGACTCATTGCGCGACCAGTACGTGCAGGCCCAGAAGCAGGCGGTTTTGGCCCTTCAGGACTATGAGCTGTGCCAGGCCAAGTACCACGAAGCGGTCACCTTGCTCGCGGCAGGAGTCCCACAAGTTCGTCCAGAACCACAGGGGCAGGTCCGCCATGGGCTGCATCTGTCTAAGCTCTTGGACGGCGAGGGTTTCGAGGTGCTCGAGGATGACGGTTTGTTCGGTCTCGAGGCTGAGGGGATCGAGATATCAGCTTCGGAGCGTGAGGAGGTCGAGAAGCGTAAGGCCGAGGTGGAGCAGGTCATCAAGAAAGCAGTCGCCGACGCCTTCGGAGCGGTCCGCACGAGGGCGCAGGAGCTGGTGGAGGAGCAGCGGGCTTTCCGCCAGAGAATGGCTGCCAAGCGCCGTCGCACTGGCGAGGAGGCTGAGGGCGATGGGGCGGCGGAGGGCCCCGCTCCGCCCCAGGCCGCTGCCCCAGCTGCGGCCCCCCAGCCTGGCGAGGCCTCCTCAGCTGCGGCAGGCCTGCCACCGCGGCCACCGCAGCCACCTTCCCAGGAGGCGCTGGCTTCAGCTTCGGCTTCGGCGGCTTCGGGGGCTTTCGCGGCGCCCGTGGACGTGGAGCAGTTCGACTTGGAGCGGCGGTTTGCCAAGGCGTCCAGTGTCGCGGCGGGGGTGGCCAGTGTTGGTGATCCTGGGCCAGGCCTTTGACGTGCGGGCTCCAGCATCTACGATTGCCACCTGGGCTCCGTGGAGGGCTACTCGCTCTTGGTCGCTAGACTCACCTGCCATGAGACCTCTGAGACCCCCCTCAGACGAAACCCTTGG